TTCCCCCCCCCCTCCAGCTCCAGCCTCGACCTAGTGCCGATGTCCCCCCCCCCCCCCGGTCACCCACGCACCTGCTGGGAACATCGTCCGCTCATCCATCCCCATCCCGGGCCACGAGCACCGGCCCGGCTACGGTCGTGACGGAAACACCGGCTCCAGCTTCACCACCACCGGGATCAGAGCCCGCTGAGGCGGGTGGCACTCGGCCGACCCCGTCCTCGACTTCGACCACTCCTCGCGCGAGCCGCAGAATTCAGAAGCGGAAAGCAGAGGGTGTCGCACGCTCGGTGGAGCGGAAGAAGAAATTCGCGCGACCGGCACCTTGCGGTCTCGACGATCTGCTGGCGTCGCCATCACCTTCGCCTACATCGGCTACCGCGCCACGGGCGAAAGCGGCTGGCAAGCAAAAACTGGGCACCGCCGCTCGAGCTGCGAAATTTGCCCGAGATGTGCAGGCAGGCCAGCGAGGGGGTTCGAAGTGCGCCGCGGACTCTGGCGCGGCCGGCGCTGCCCCAGTGGCGCAGCCCGGTCCCTTCTCCAAGCACCAACACAAAAGGCTTTCAATCATCTACCTCGACAGTCCACCTTCACCGGGCGATTCCGACGACCATGCTGCGCGGTCACCATCAGCTGGGCCGTCGCCATTTGGGTCGTCTGCGCCGCCGGCGGAAGGACGGGCCAGTGCACAGACAGCTCTCTCGGGGTCTCGCGAGATCGACACCAACGACAACTTTGACTTAGCCTCATTTCTTTCGGGCCCGCATGCAGCCAGTGGGGCCGCCGCCAGTGGATTCCCAGGCGGAGCCGCGGGTGACAACGCCATGGATCGTCTTGCAGCTCAAGTAGACTCTCTCAGCGCCCTGGTCATTGACATGAGCAGGCGGCTGGACGCTGCCGAAGCCAACCCGACTATGACTCTGGCGCCGCCGGCCCGCCCAGAGCTACAGCCAATCATGGTTGACGGGACTCGCACCGTCTCTAGGACGGTCCCTGCGCTCCACATGAATGAATTACCACCGGCGCAGTTGCGCGAGCTGCGATCGACTAGCTTCCCGTTGCTCAATCAGCGGAGCCGCAGCGAGTTTGTACCGCACGTCACGCACATCCTTGCCGCCTATAGAAGTATCGCAAACCTGTCTCGCTCCGACGGTGCGTTCACCCTCCCCCTACCGACACGCTCCTGTGGATTCGCCGCCTCGCCAGCATCCCTTTCGACTCGAGTATCGCTACCACGTCTGGTCTCTACGGCGTGCACATTGGTTCTCAAGGCCTGTCCCTTTCCCACTTCCGCCCTCTGTCAGACGACGAGAGGCTCAAGCGCAGTTCGAACAACACCAACATCTCGCTGGACTTTAGTTCAGCAGCTCAACCGCCACAGCTCGCCGAGTGCACAACTTACGACGATATTCTACTCGCACTCAGCGGGCTCAGCTCCTTCGGTGCAACTCACTGGTACCCGCACATGAATCGCCTGCTGGATCAACTCCGTCGATTTGTCTTCGACAATCAGAGGGGCGACCCGGCTAACACCTCGGAACGCGTGACACGTACGCTGCAGTATGCGAACGTCTATCTCGGTCGCGCTGTCGCTCACCTGTCGGAAGACTCGCCAACATGGTGGAGGGATTTCTGCGCCGACACCGAGGCAATCGAGTAGAGGTCGGTCGAATGGCTGCTCGCGCTGCAGAGTCTCACAGTCACAGCCCAATCTCAATCTGCTCCAATGCGCGCGCCTCCACAGGTCGGGCAACCACGGCGCGCGCAAAACAGCCACCCCCAGGCTATGCTGGTCAACATCCGAGCCCTGGTGCCTCGTCGTTCAGACGGTACGGAGCCATGCCTGCGCTTCTTCGGCGGCGGCATGTGCACCGGAGGCACCCGAGACGGCTGCGCGTACTCATTCCGCACGCACACGTGGGATGGCCCTCTGCCCAGAGACCTAGTATCGTACATTACCAGGCAGTACGGCACCACCCGCCGCGGTCATCACGGCCCTCGCCACAACTGAGGGTACCGAGGCGCTACCGGCTCACAAGCGCTTCGGACCCCAACACTTGATACCACTGCCGCTAATACAAACGCCGCATTTTTATCCCCTCTACTTCTGAGCCCGTAGATCTGCTTACGCACCCACGTAACGTACTAAACCCACCACACAGTGGCACCACCGTGCACCTACATAGGCCGACTCACCATACCGGTAGTCAAACCAAAGATACCTCACCTTCTAGAACGCACCATGAAACCGCGATGCCTCAGATCGTATCCAACCTCACCGTCAACCCTGGCCAACAACACATAACGGTCGATCCGCTATCTCGATACCCTGCGCCCAACCCAACGTCCAATGCGGCCTCACTCGAACCGCGCAATCATCAGGCCACGCACGCATTCCATCATGGCGTGCGCATTGCCGCAACCACATCCGCTAGGCTACCTCCTAGCGCAGCTACAGCAACAGCACAGTCTGCGGGTCGCCCGTTTTCTTGTATATCTTAACGGCTCCGTGCCCCACCTAGCGCACTCCAAGTGCAGCAACTCCTGTCCCGGGGACGGAGGAGGGCCAATATAGGGGCAAGTATACGGGACAAGGCCGTGGCGACGGCGTTCAGCGCAGTCCACCTATTACTACCGAACAGGGACTTCCCAACGGCGGAATGGGCCGGCGGCCGCCAGCAGTTCCAGCTACACAAACCACTACAGAGTGCAGTATCTGAATACGTGCGCCGCACCCAGTGCTCACTTCCCACCCTAATCTAGCTGCTACACGGGCAGACGGCGTCCAACTACCGTCCCAATAAGGATATCGTTCCTACCTTCATTCAGCAAAGCTGCAGAACGTACCCCAAACTACATACCCTGCTGCCATTGTGCAGGAAGGGATTACTGTGACTCTAACGTCACCAATGCCCCGCCAAACCAGCCCTCCACGAAACCACCCGTCCGACACCGAGAGGCTTAATGTCCTCCGCAAGAACATCCGGAAGGAGCAGGACCTCGGCCGTTGCATCGTCGTAGACCATGCCGTCGCCCAATTCTGGCCCGAGCTGTTCTTGAGTACCTTCGGGGTGGTCGACAAGGGCAACGGTGACCCCGACGTAGCTGGCCGGATCATCCACAACCTATCCTTCCCAGAGGGGGCGTCCGTCAACGATCGCACCGACGCCGAGTCAGTGCTCACCACCGAGTACAAGCACTGCGCAGCCATCGCTCAGGAGATTCTCGCCCAGAAAAAACGTTTTCCCGGGCGCAGCATCAAAATTCTACTAGGGGATGTGGCAGCCACCTTCCGTAACCTTGGCACGCACAGCCATTCAGCTCACTTCTTTGCCGGGATGATCCCCGAAGACGACGCCCTCGTCATCGACCTCTCGGCCTGTTTCGGCTGGACAGGATCACCGGGATTCTACGGAGTCATCGGCGATGCGATCGCCCACATCCACGGCACAACCTCAAATGCGTATTACCCAAACGGGCTTTTCAACTATCACTGGGTCGATGACCACGTCTGCATTGCTGCAGACATCGGCTCAAACTGCACAGACGTGGAGCAGTCACTTCGATCAGCCATGCCCCTCATCCTGGGCCCGGACGCAATCAACGACGACAAATTCACACCCTGGGCAACATCCCAGAAGGTCCTGGGCTGGTATTCAACACCATCGCTGGTACAGTTTCGATTCCAGCTGACAAGATCGTCAAAGCCCGCGCCCTCGTCACCGACGCCTACAATTCGCGTGCTCTAAGCCGCAAGCAGTATCGATCTCTCCCAGGCTCCCTCCGTCACGTCGCGAATTGCGTCCGACCGGACATGTCCTGAGGAACTTGAAGCACCGACAGGATCATGGAGTTATGTGGAGGATGTTGAAGTGAAATTGCGCGTGAACGATGTTGAAGAACTTCTGCTGAACAAGGCCTGGGCTGAAGCCGACACTGTAACCAGCCGTCTTCTTCGACGCAAATTTGGTGCTTGTTCGTCATCCCGAGCACAAGTCACAGTGACCGACCTACTCCAGACATGGCTTGATGACTCTCTATTGACCGCTATGAAGGACTTTGTTAACGCCAGCCTGAGCCAGCCGGCGTTCGTGACCAATGACAATTTGCTGATGTTTTTCGAGGTGGAACTCTGGTTGTGCTTCTACTCCGCAACCCCTACTTCCTTTTACGATAGTGCCAACAGAGACCTGTACCCTCCGGTGTGGACGGCAATGCCCCAGTCACGGTATATGGCAATTTTACATGCATTGGAGGCTCCCAATCAGCGTAGCTGCAGATCCGACGACTGGAGTGCTTTACTGAGTCCCGATCGGGACACTGCTCATGCAACTAATTTTACTTCGCCGTTTGTGTTCGGAAATCGGCTTCGTGGAGCGTATTTCAATTGCTTCCCTGGATGATGACTTGATTCGACTACGTTCACAAGAAGTTGATGAGCTTGGTTTATCACATGTTCGGAATCCAAAGAAGGGGTGAGTCATGGTGATGCCAAGTTAAAAATCTGTTGAGGAGCTCATAAATGGATTTATTTGTTTAGGTTTGGCCCTGTTCAGCATGGAATTGTCTCGTTGACAACCGGTCTATTTCTTGGAGGTCATGTGGCATCTCGAGGAGAGTCTACGCTGGATATCGTGAAATTTTTGCAGCGTTCTCTGTCTGGTGCATCAACGGAGAGCCGAATCCAACTTCCAGGGATAATACACGCTCTAGATAGAGGGTACCAGTCCGCCGCCGTGAATGAACAAATCCACAGCGTTGGGGGCAAAGTTGTCGGGACACACAAGCGCACTGGACGCTTTCCATTCACATACGATATGGGCTGTCGGTCTATTGTGCAACACAAAAACTAGCTCGCTCTGACAGCCACACAGCATCAAAGGCTTATGCGCTTGCATTTAGATCTGGTCTTGCAAGCGTTGCACTCTGCTACACAACAGATCGTGAATTTGGGCCGGGCTGCTGGACGTATATTTACAGCCCCAAAGGCTACTGGACCAGCAGCCTGATAATATTTTGTTTGCTGACTTTGAGGAACGAGTACAACAATTGACGGACGCCGGACTGGTTCCTCCTGCGCAAATTTCGAGTTACTGGCTCTGTTGCAGAGAAATTATTTCGGCTAATTGCTAAATCAGCACCTGAAACAATCAGAATGCGAGATCCAGTGTCTGATCCAGACGTCCAGACAGTGTTGATGACTCTCTCAACTGATTACATTAGACCGGTGGAAGAACCAGTTGAACCGGTTGTTTTGACGCGTGGTGAATTGCAGTCGAAGACGTGCGACGAGCTTAAGACGCTTTGTCGGCCAAAGCAGCTTCCGGTGACGGGCAACAAGGGCGCGCTAATGGATCGTCTCCTTGCCGACTCGGTTTCTAGTAACAGCACAGATACAGACTCGTGGGCTAGCGCTCTTCTATCGTGTTGGTTTATGGCACCAAGCTCCTCTACAGCGATGGAAACTGGGACACACAACGAATCTAACATTGAGGAGCACGTTGAAGCATTTTTCGTGAACCACTCACCATTCACGATCGAGGGGAAAAGGGCGTACGGCTTGTTGTGTTTGTAAGTAAATTTATACATAATTAGTTGTGCATTGAGCTAACTGCATGTTTGGACTGTTGTAGACGCGAAATGCATTTTGCAGCTTTCTCTCCGGACGGCATTGGCGTTATTGAGTGGGAGATTCAGCGCGGTCTTGGAGTACAAGACTCGGGTAACAGAGCGTACGAAGCAGAGTGAACTGCTATTGGCGCAGGGTTGTGGTATATTTGCCACTGTGGAGCTGCAAGCAAGTGGTTTCGGGTCGCTTTTTAAGCAAATGATTCCTGACCCAAGTCACAGAAGCCAAATCCTCCACAACATAGTTTGCGGTGGCGTGGAAGACGGCTTCCTGATCTATGCATCGCAAACAGAAATTATTCGTGTTGTTCACGTACGGGTTGGTGTGGATGTGACGACCACGTACCGCGCTGCTCTTACCGTTATTCGGGACGCTCACTTGAAGTGGGTATACGAGGAGAATGTTGCAATTCCTTGCTTTTCCCAGGGGGATTTGGCCACTGCGTTGATTTCAACACTCTATCGCAGAACCTGCAACTTTGGAGAGCCCTCGTTAGAATTATTGATGATCTCTGCCGCCCGCTACCACCTGCGAAGCACATTCTACCTTCACTTGTGGGGTTCTGGAACAGAATTAAAGGTGGCATCGATGTTTATTCCCGGCACTTGACGAATGTGTAGTCGCGTTATTGCAGTCTCCCACCAATGGCAGCTATTTGGTTACGCATAATTATGACTTTGTTCTACAACGCGCATCAATCTGACAGGCTTTTCAAGGTACGGAAGTACGACCTCCTGAACTAATTGCGAAGTGCTAAATTTCCGTTTTGATTTAGGCTTCTGCTTACCTATACGACGAGCGCCAGTGTTCAACGTACACCGCGTATCAATAGTACAAGCAAAGTCTCCCCAGCTTCGCTTCTTTTTGTCGAGATGCCGCCCGAAGTCTTGGCCAGCGCTCGCGGCCAAAACAAAACGCAGCAATTCCAGTCGCCCCAAGCAACGGCGGCCTGGCTCCACTGGATCTACCAGGCTTTTCATACAGAAACGAGAGCATTTCAAGACGGATCCTGACTGGATTCGTCTTCGGTTGTCAAAGCGGTTCAAGCACCAAGTCGTAAGTACCAGTACTAATGCTCCGTATAACGTAGAGGGAAGATGCATCTAACTCACTTGTATGCTTATTTAGATTCGCATTGAAGGCGAAGCCCAGAACTGTTGCGTTTTGTGTTGCCAGATCAGCCATGATGTTGAGAACGTTGGTCACACTCGAAAAGGCTTCATAACACGCTTCCAGTGCAGCGACTGCAAAGTAGCTCTTTGTCAGGTGGCTCGATGGAATGGTGAGACTTCGTGCCTCGAGAAGTTCCACTCGGACAAAGAGCTCCCCGACCCGTGCAAAGGACCCGAGCAGGTGATCTCAACTCAAGTGCACACCAACCGAGCTCCGCCGCCATCGCGCAAGCGGCAGCACTCAATTGAAATCCCGAATCGACGTGCAAGCAGTACTCGCCTGGAGATCAAGGAACGCAGGCGATCGCTGCGTTTGAGAGAGCTGCAATGAGCTGCAATGAAGAGTTACGCCAATTTGTCCTTGAATCTAGGACGAACCACCAGCAAACTGCATAACAAAACATCAATATTCCTTTGAATGCATGAAAACACAGCTAAGTCATACCCAGGTATAACGCACGTTTCTAGGTTGGTTTATGTGTCTTCGCCTGTGGCAGCCAGGATTCAGGCTCTCAATGCGTATCCTTGCCAAGCGGGGGCGTCCAAAATTGGTCCTAGTTTTGTCCTAGATTTCTGAGCTGCTGGGGTTAACGCCGACGCATGCAACGAGTTTGACATCAACTATCGCGAGCTGCTCTCGTGTGCCTTCGCCGTACGCATGGGCACCGGCGTGGCACGTCAAGAGAATGGAGACCCCGCACACGCAGAGGTTAGGATAATTCAATGTATTGTATTACTGAGTAATACAATTTCGGTATTATGAACCACCCGTCGCGGTGATCGTAAATGTATGTAGCCTTTGGTGTGTCAACACCAAGGACGAGAAAGTCTTTGGAACCTCTAACAGACGTCGTGTCTGTTAGAGTTACAAGTGACTGTAGCCACTTGTGCGTGTAACCCTGTTACACCATCCCCCCTCAAGGTTAGACGCGCCGAGTCACGGCACGTCAATCAGGAAATTGACCATTCGTCAATTCTTCACGTTGGGAGGAAAGAAAACTCGAGCTCATTCCGCAATGAGCTCGCCGAAGAAGACCGCCGCTGAAGCAGAGGGGAATACCTCCGCCGGGATAGAGACTCTCTCTATCCCCGAGTACCGCGAGCGTCACAAAGCAAAGCGTGACGCTCTTGCTGCCAAGGCTGCAGCGGGGATATCCCAGCTGGAGATTGTCCTCGAAGGCTCATCTGTAGTCAACGACGCCGTTGACTACGGGGACGGCGACGTCGAGATGGAAGAGGGCGAGGCCTCTTCAAGCAAGCGCAAGGAGTCTATCGACAGCGATAGTCTCGACCCGCATGCCGGGTCGAGACGCCCTCGTGAAGGAGACGACTCGGACGCTTCGAGTTCGAAGCGTTCGCGCGGCGAGAGCGACACTCCGCTCTCTGCTGCTGGGGCTTTAGGCTCCCCGCGTGAAGTGGCGTCTTCAAGCTTTCCGCGCGCTGCCTGAGCAGCGCGCGATCCGTGGATGCCGTCTGCGTCAGAGATCGCAGATCGTGTGGGCAACACCGTGCCTCCAAATGAAATCCCGCTGTACGTATGCAGCGGCATCCACGACGATGCTGTGGCGGAGGAGCAGCACTTTGATTCGTCAACGAATCAAAGGCGCGATTATTACATCGGGTTCTTCCACGAGCTCCTGTACTTCTCCAGCAAGAAGACCTCTTCTCGCAGCAAAGTGCCTGAGTGGCAGGCACTTTGTCAAAGTTGGAATGCTTTTGTTGAGAACTTCAACAAGAAACCGGCTGCTTACCGCGAGCGGCTTAAGCATGCCCGTGAACGCTTCGAGACATTCTCGACGCGCGGGCGGCTGGAGCAGCTCCACAGATCCTCTGTGGACGCTAGTATTCCATGCGCTGTGCCCGAAGGCCAACAGTGCACGTTGTGTCTTCCGGGTGCGGCGCGCTTGAGCGACCGCGACCTAAACGGGTACACGACGATTCGTGTACCTGCGAGTCTCAAAGATCTCCGTGCCGAGTTCCTGGCACGTGAGGAATGCGACGATCGTGGGACTTCGAGCGCTGCAGGTGACTACAGCGCTCGCACTACCTACGCGTCGGCAGTGCGTGGTGAGCTTCGTACTCCCTCACCATTTCCGGAACGTCCTGCAGCAGGACGTCCCGTGGCTCCCATGTATCTTGGTGGGGCGGAAACCCTCTCCAACGAATACGATAACGAACCGGCTGCCGGTTCGTTTTCGGGATACTATGGTTCACAATATGCTCAACAATCCAGCGTGTTGAACCGCGGGCGTCGCGGATCGGAGGCGGCGGTGGTGGGAACACGCCCCGGGTATGGTCAACCTGGGGTTGTTGATTGCATCCGAGCTGAACTGGTTCAGCTCGTTTTCAGCAGTAGGCCCGGCCTCTGCGTTCATCTTCGCGGTGTCTGTGCCCTGTACAGACCCGTTCTTCTTCTTGTTGTTGTTTTTGCTCTTGTCGTCGTCTGTGCCCTGCACAGACGCGTGCTTCTTGATCTTTTTGCGCGTAGTCGCGGCTGACACTGTGCAAGTGTCAGCGGCATTCTGCGGCTGCTGCGTTGCAGTCGTAGACCCCCCCCACTTAAGGAAGGAGCCACCATCCCGAGTAAACTCGGGAGGCGTGTGTGCCTGATGGCATTCACGTAGAACGGTGTATGCCCGGTCGAGGCATGCATCGAGTTGTTGATGGCGAACTCTGCCATCGACAGGCACTCGCTCCAGTGTTGGAACGAGTGAGCGTAGCTCTTAAGCACGTCTACGAGCACGCGGTTCACGCGCTCGGTCTGCCCGTCCGTCTGTGGATGGTCCGCAGTGGACATCGAAAGTTGACTCCCAAGAAGTGTAAACACTTCTTGCCAAAGGTGTGCAGTGAAGCGCGGGTCTCGATCCGACACAATGTCGATCGGCATGCCATGGTGTTTGAACACGATGTCAACGAACAGACGCGCCGTCTGTTTCGCAGTCACTTCAGCGGGTACCGCAGCAAGATGGTACATCTTGCTGAAGCGGTCAACAAAGACCACAACGCCCGTGTTCCCCCTGGCTGTCCGGGGGAAGACCGAACACGAAGTCCAAAGACAAGGACTGCCAACACTCCGACGGAGTCGGCAGTGACTGCAAGGGAGCCTGCGCGAAGGGCGCAGGCTTCACACGTTGACGAACCTCGCAAGCACGGACGTACTTGCGCACCCATTTATACTGGTGGGCTAGTAGAAGTCCCGCGTGAGAAGAAGGTATGTCTTCTCACGGCCCGGATGCCCCGCAGACGGTGCATCGTGATACTCATACCTGATCCTGAGTCGCAGGTCATGGTCATTGGGCACGACAACGCGGTCCGAGTTGTAGTCGACTGCAATGTAGAGTAATAATCCGCAGCAGGCAGCAATTTCGACAGTGGCATCAAATTGCGCAAATAATATTAGTGAAGGGAGGGGAAGTAGCAGCAGCCACTCTGCTGTTCGAGAAACGCAAGCAGAGCTTGATGCCGACGAACGTGTCGCTGAACTTGATTGTGAGCTAACTTCCTCCGTGAACCGGGCTTCAAACTGGTGGCAACATCGTGCGATAGTCGGCTTCACATTCCCAAGGGTTCCGTTGAGTGTGGCGTGGGAGCTTTGGTGGTTTGGATGCCCAAGCAAAAACTGGCCGCCGTATCGATCGCTTGTGCCAATGGACCTGCCAAACAAAAACACACGAAAGCGATTGTCAGATTTTCGCTTCGTAATGCTGAAATTCGAGAGCATTGACCGGCAAAATAGTTCTTACAACTGTAATCCGTCGCTTCAGCAGGCAAGTCAAATGCTGGTTGGAGCAATGGACATTTTGCCGATTGGAGATCAAACCCAGCGAAATTACACGGAAAGAGCAGCTACAATGGTCTACCGTCGTTAATCTTCTGCGCCGCCACAACAGGTCACAGCCAAGATGGCCCATATCAAGGCGCAGATGGCCAAGCGAGAGCGGCAGGAGGAGGAGGCGCGCAGGAAGGTGGCCAGCGCGCGCACCAGGTCGCAGCGATCACAGGCGCTGCAAGATGCCTGCGACTCACGGGCCATGCAGTTTGGCCCTCATGCTGAAAAAAAGTAGTTCTGTTCTGGTTCCTCAGTTCTGGTTCCTCCGTTCTGGTCCCTCAGTTCTGGTTCCTCAGTTCTCCCTCAGTTCTGGTCCCTCGCTCTGGTTCCTCAGTTCTGGTGCCTCCTTCTGGTTCCTCTGTTCTGGTGCCTCCTTCTGGTTCCTCTGTTCTGATGCCTTCGCTACGCAAAATGGTAATCGTGAACTCCAAATTCAGCAAGCCAAAATGCAGCAGCAACCGCAGCAACAACATAGATAGCATGACTCGCAATGCATCGTTGCAGCCGCCTCAAGGGCAGCATCGCGGAGAGCGGCAGCGACGACCTGTCGTGGTTCCAGCGTTCAAGGCTCAGCACGACTCGTGGCCCCTGATCGACGTCAGCATGTAGGAGTACATGGAGGCGACGCGACAGAAGATCGTCATCGCGGAGGTGGTTAACGTCGCTCGCCGCAACGCAGACTTGCGTAAGCAGGTTCGCTTCCAAGGGTTTCCAGACTCGGAGATTCCGCTCGTGCCCGACAGATGGGAGCCGTATCAGCGCAAGTACATCTGCACACACGGCTGGAAGGAGCGTGAGAGGTCGAGTGGGAAGAGGACGTCGCACAAGCTCCGCCGCACGGACTGTCCGTTTCAGATGCTAGCTCAAGTCGTCATGCGCCGAGATGGAACGTGGGGCACCGCCATGAAGCGCGAAGTCTACAGCCATAACCACCCCATTTCCGACGGTATCTACAGGTCTTATCCAGGTATTCGCCAGGTTCCCGCAGGCTCTGCTCTGATGCCGTGCATTGAGCTGCTAGTCGACGCCGACGCTGGGACTTCAAGCATCTACAACTACATTCGTGAGAACTCCAACCACCGCGTCACAATGGACGACGTTCGAAACCTGGTTGCGCGGATGCACAAGAAAGGCAAGTTATTGTTGTGAGAACATGAGTTGTCTGTGAAACTGACTTTATTGACATTGATGACTAGGAATTGAGCTATCTGACGACGACGCAGTGGCGGAGATGATCGTGAATTTCAACTTGGAGTCGCCACTGAACGTGTCCTCGGCGCATGAGAACGCGCACGGCGAGACTGGCGTGATATCCTTCACGAGCGGTCATATGCGCGCTATGCTGGACAGATTCCCAGAAGTGATTCAAATGGACTGCACGCATCAGACCAACCAGTGAGTCTCTGTATTATGTTTGCAGGTTTTGGCTACGTGTTACCAGGTTTTGATCAGGTTGTGTCTTTGTTCTGAGTAGATATAACTACCAGCTTCTCACGATGGTTGCGATGGATCAATACGGGAACGGATGTGGTGTAGCGGGATCGGCCAAAATCTGGTTAAGGCCTGATCGAGCTTCCCACCAGCGCCCAGACACCGACTAACGGAGGGGGTCCCCCAACGATCCGTGATCGGCTGAACTTGTTCTCACCTTGTGTACCCGTCGGCGGGCTGGATCTGCTCTCTCGGGGCTCCGAAGATGCAGCACTTGGTGAAGATCGAATGTCTTGGCGTGACGCGGGGATAGTTTGTGGAGCAGCGCGGGAATCTTCGCTCTGCGTCCGAGTATACGCTCCGATCGAGGGTCGTTCGCTCCGATCGGTCGGCCTGGAGTCGATCCACGGTCTGTAGTTGCCTTTCCTGGTGTGTTCCTTCCTTTCCTGAGTTGCTTACCGCTTCCTATAGCGGGATCGAGATTGATCGAGAGGAGAAACGATCGCCGGCCAAGCAGTACCCGGTCGATCGAGGGTTCGCACACAAGAAATAGATCGCTAGAGTAGGTCAAGCTGGTCAATGTATTAATCCAGTCTTAACCGTACCACTAGCTCACTGTCCAAAGTGTCGATGCTTGCCGAGGCTAATGTAGTTCCTGGGACTTGACGACTTGAGGGGACTTGTGCTCTTCGGTGCAAATTCTGCTTTGATTCATGTTTAGCTGGTGTCTCTCTACCACTACCATCTCACCTACCATCCTACAACTGGATTCTTGTCCTGGCTTCGCCCCCATGTGCTCCCCATCTTGGCTGATCGGCGATCGGCGATCAGCGATCGACGATCCACAGTTCTCGATCGCTATCAGTCTACTTCGGTCTTCAGCCGTCCCACCCTACGATGTCGCTCGTTGATCTTGCCCTCGTGCATGACGTCCTTCGCTTTCGACATGCGCCCTTCGCACCGCGCCCCTTGGATCGGTGTGGGACGAGGCATCACCACTCTCCATGTGTCGATCAGCTGTGATCTACCTGGTTCCACGCCCCGCCTACGTGCGAGTATCATCCCGGTGCCTCGATCGCTCGTCGAACCTCCTCGATCTCCGCAATCCCAGTCTTGGTCAGGTCTCCCTTCTCTCGATCGTCGATCCCCTTGATTTTTGGTCGATCGGTTATGCCGCCTTTCTCAGAGAACAAATCTTGTTCTCGCGCTTTTCCACACGGGCAGCCCGTGCAGTACTCACTGATCGAGACGAACAGCGACTAGCACATGGCTAAGTGCATGGACCACTTCAAGCGGGCGAATGAACATTGGCGCTTCGTGCGGATTGTCATCGTTGACAAGGGCATGCGTGAGATTGATATCATCCGCAAGAAGTTACCAGAGGCTCGCGTGCTACTGTGTCACTTTCATGTGATCAAGTGGTTGCACGAAACGATTCGAAAGTCCAAGAAGTACGGCGTGTACGAAGAAGATGTGCTCTCTCAGATGAAGATTCGACAACCCAAGCTGCCGATAATGAAGATTGTTCACGCGGGCTAAGCGTTCGACTGTCAGGCAATGTCAGATGACAAGGCCGCCCCCCCCCCCCTCTCGACCGTGCAGCGCAGAAGGAAAAGGCAAAAAAGCTTTGAAGGAGTACAACAATGGCACAAACCTACGGACTTTATTACGCGAAAAAGATTGTGTGAAGTGGTGGCTACACTTCACGATGTTAAACCCGGTGTTCGTGAGGTAGGGTCCTTCCTGGCTACGTTGCAAGTGAAGTCTCAGGGGCAAGGCAAACCCATTGAGAGGCGCGTCGACGCTAAATTCGTCCCAGACACAGTCCGGTTTCGTCTACTCGAGTCTGTAGTTGACAGCGCGCTGGAGCAACTTCTCGGCGGCCTTGCGAAGAACGAACAGATCGAGCTAGACAGTGAGGGCGAAGCCGCTGCAGGCGGCGATTGTGTGGCGTAGCGGGATCAGCAAAATCTGCGAGATTGCCAATCCAACTTACCAACTGCGCCCGAACACCGACTTACGGAGGGGGTCCCCCGATGATCCGTGATCTGTGTGCTGAACTGGTCACCATGTGTACCCGTCGGTAGGGCTGGATCTGCTCCTCTGGTGTCTGCTGAAGTGTCCGAGCCTTGAAAACAGAACAGTCTGGGCGAGACGCGGGGATGTGGGTGGAGCAGCGCGGAAATCTTCACTCTGCTCGCGGTAGTATTCCAAATCCAGTGGTCTTGTACTTGGATCCAGCGGCCTGGATCTGGATCCGGCCGGGTTGTCGCCTTTCGAGGTTGTTGTCCTTTACGTTGCCTTCGCAGGTCTTCCTTGGTCGTGTTTGCCGCCTCCAATGACGGTGTCGTTGACAGTTGAGACGAGAGGGACGCACCGGCCAAACAGATAACTCCGGTGGATCTTGGATCTGCACTTGCAGGTAGTTCACTAGGAAGGTCTTGGATCTGGCCAATATATTACTCCAGTCTTACAACCAACACTAGATCTGCTACCGCTAACCTCTCTACGCCGTGTAGGGCCAATGTCGTTCCTGTTTCCAGGCGAGGGAGGAAGCGCTTGCGTTGTACAAGGCAAATTCTGGTCTGATTTATGCTTAAGTCCGTTCCTATCTCAAAGTCCTATCACCATGTGGATCCTATCATCCCATCTGTGCCTACCGACTCTATGGACTCCATTTATCTTCATTGCGTGTCAGCTGCTTGCCCGTCGAGTCGTGTCCACAACTTCCTGATTACGCCTGGCTGCAGATCCAGAACCACGTTGGACCTTGGATCTTGCATCCTGGATCCACCTGAGTCCAGATCCAGATCCATCTCAGTCTGGATCCAGTGCAGATCCAGATCCACGTTGGATCTTGGATCCTGGATCCACCCGAGTCTAGATCCAGATCCATCCGAGGCTTGGATCTGGGAAGTGTAGATCCAGATCCACCCGTTGGATCTGCGTCCTTTAACTGTCACTCTTCCGGATTTGTGCCGAGGTCCAGATCCGTCACTTGTCTCATCCACTGTCATAACTCTTTTCCGGGAATTGCGCTTCTCCACAATTGTTACGTGGTGGCTATTGCTAAGGTCGGTCAGTTCACGCGTGACCGAGTGGAGTCGATGAAGTGGTTGTGGAACCTACAAGCTACATGTAATTTGTTGCTCGTGGCTTCACCGCGAGGTAAGAGCTGCTCATGCCCCTCCCTCTCCGTGTGCCGGTGCATTTACCGAGCTATTGGAGAACTGGCCGTACAATGAACTGCGTGGCTTCGGATTCGACCTGACGTACTCGGATCTGTATTGCTTCCGCGACTCGGCCTGGCTAAATGATGACGCGATGAAGGCATTTGCTGTGGTGCTGGCTAGCTACAAGAACAATGTGACGATTACGGCCACGCCGCAAGGGCATGGTGAGGCTACACAGCAGAAACGAAGTCGCAAGGGCCTGCTTTCATCCAACGCACTGGAGGACATCATTGCAGGTGTTTCGACGTATGCATTTGTGCTGCTGCCCGTCAATTTCGGGGGCACTCACTGGGGATGTCTCGTTGTCGACCGAGATGCCAAACAAGTGAAGACGTACGACAGCAAGAATGGCAAGCGCAATAAGCAGAGGTTGAAGAAGATCGCGAGTGAGCTTATTGCTGCAAATGCGACTATTGCGAGCTACACGACTGTAGAGGTGACCGAGCCTCTTCGGTCCGACAGTGATAGCTGCGGTGTTTTCGTGTGTCGCTTCTTCTGGACCTGTGTTAGCGACGACGCTCCAAGTGATGTAACGCCGACGGGTATCACAAGCTACGCTGGGCAATGCTGGAAGCAATCCTGAAGACGAATCGTTGCTAGTCGCAAGAAGATGACGGAGGCATAGTGCATTTTGAGGCTAAACTCAATACATGGACACTACATGGATGACATCTGGACAACACCTGGAGTTACGTGATGGAGCCATACTTGAGTGATGACTTCACTTGCTGGTTCTCGCCATGCCGACGGAAGGCGACGCTCATCGCTCTGGCTTTTGCTCAAGTAGCGCACACATGAGTATTCCAGGTATTGATACCTGCACGAAACCCGGACTCTACTGCTGAAGACTGATTGGCTAGAGCTCTTCCGACACAAGCCGAGCGCCGTCAGTTCCACTTTTGCTCAAGTTCCGCACACATGATTCTTCCAGGTTTTCCACGCGCATTATACCTGGTCAGGTAATTTATGTCGGTCGCATATATTACTTTCATCCGATTCGGCAGGGTTTCGAAAAACCTGTAGATAACCTGTAATAAAACTTCAGGTTTCTGGGGGGAAATCTGAATCTGGGAAACCTCCGTCCATCTTCGATCAATAAACCACAGATGATGAATCCGTCCTGCAAATCGCGCGATCTTTCCGACACATCACTTATTTCGGGACACCACATTTTCGAAAGTGTGTGCAAAATGTAACTTTTTGTAACATTTCAACAACATACTTTATACGCCGTATCCATTCCGTACACCATTTTCGTATATCAATCATGGCGCTCGCACTCCGCTTCGCTGAGGAAGGCGAGTTCAGGTGCGTCTCAGTGCCGCAGCCTCTCCCTCTCTACTACCCCACTCATCCCCTCCTCCTTCTGCTGAGTGCAGCTCGCGCGCGTGCGACGTCTCGCTCTCAGACGCGCCGGATGTCGCGCCCAGCAAGGCCATCTTCCGCGTAAAAAACAAAAAACTTTACCTGTTCCATGTCAACAAAACCCGTAAAGTTTACCTCTTTTGTGTACAGTGGTCCCGCGCCGTGCGCCGACTGCTCCAAGACCAAGACCAAGTGCGCGTCAAGACGCTCGTGGTGGCCATGCCGGGGCCAGCGCAGCAGCTCGTGCAGCAGTTGACGCGGGACTGGGTTTCAGTAGGCACGCTGGTGACCACGGACCAGCTAATTGTGAGTTTACGTTTGGTCCTAAAATGTAGGTCGCTCGCCCTTAATTAGTACTAACTTTCGTCTATTTCCGCAGCACCCCTGCAATTTGCAGGCGACGCCCTCCGCCGGTGTGATTCTGGCCAAGAAGGGGCTCAAGGAGCAGGACAACACGCTGGTGGTGCTGGTGGGCCAGGATGTGCCCGTGGCGGCCTCGTGGGCGTGGATCAAGTCGCTGAAGCAGCATGTTGAAGCGGAGGACGTGGTGTGTCTCGACTCGCAGCTGTCCACCATCTACGCGGACCAGTTCTCGGACGCAGACAAGCTCAGGATGCTTGCGTCGTCAGCTGTCACGGACGAGATGAAGACGGTCACGCCCGTGCGGCCGCTTGAGGTGCCGCAGTTCGTGACCGGGATTCCAGCGGCTCTGCTCACCGACGTAGGTTTTGGTAGTTTGGTGGGGGTAGAACGATGTAGAACGTGCTGACTGACGGTGGTTGTGTGCTCTTTGGTAGGGTGAGCTGCGCAAGCGTCGAGCTCGGGTGTACGTGAGTCTGCGGGACGTGTCATCAACTCCCGCTGATGTGATGCGCAGCTTCTTGCCGCTGGTTGCGTCCTCCTCGTCGGTGCTCGGGGAACTGGAGCGTCCGCTGTTCTTCCAGCCGACGGGTGAGTCGATGCATGAAGACGGAGCTACGGGCTCGCTCGACGTGCTGTACACGTAAGTTTCTGAGTGGGTCAGCTTTGCGTGGGCGACCAGCTCCCCTAGATGAACGAAATAGACGGCCTATTTTCGAGCTTATTGTGTATTTTTGGTTTTGCTTGTCGCGCGCTGTGAGTTGCGAGTTGCGCGTGCATTGCGTCGGGTGTTGGGGTATGGCTGCGTGAGGTACAAGACTGCTGACAATGGATAATCAACAGCGGGAGCAGAGATCTGCGTCCGCGCGCCAGTTCTCCACGCGCTTCCTGCCGAGCGATGGGATCCCAGAGTACAACGCGCTACTGGACTCGCACCTGGGCAAGCGACGCGAGTTCCTGCTGGGCAACCGCCACTCGCTCGAGCTGATGCAGCAGACTGGAGTGATCGAGCGCGTGGAGGCGCAGCCCGACAATCCGAACCAGTACGTGGTGCATATCGCTGAGAAGTCGATCCATCGAAGGAAGAGACTGCCACCTCGATCCGGTTCAGATCCGCTGCAGCTACCCGAGTCCCAAACGATGCCGTGGAGACAGAACTCCGCCTCGCGCAGTATTTTAGACGGATTGGCAGGGCACAGCTCCACTTCACTTCGACGAGGAAGCAGCAGCGCGTCTCGGTTGGATACTGTGGAGGATTTCAGTGGAAATGGTGGCGGTGATTTGAGCGCAGCCAAGAAGACAAACGCCGCGACGTTGATAGGACTGAGCCGAAGCTACAGTACGAACACGGTGCTGACCACGTCCAAGCCAGTGTTGAAGTCTTCAGCTGCTAATCGCTTGGCACTGTTCGGTTCGACGAAGTGCTGCGCTCTCTTAGAGTCCTCCGGAGCTCCAGGACAATTCAACGTTGGCAAACACAGGGCAGCGTCGGAATTGACTACATCCCATGTGATTGAAGTACGTCAGCGAAGTCGCAGTGCTGTACCTGCAGCGTTGGGGTCAACCTTTGACGAGCTCAAGAAGAGTCGAGCGCAGTCTAAACGATCAGTCGCGTCTACAGCCGGAGGAGCAAGCGCCCCTCAGACAGCTGTGAAAGGCACCGTGGAGTACTTACTCGAGAGTGACGCAACGTTCATGACGCAAATCCGGATAATGAAGGAGCATCTCACGGCGTTGGAGAACACCAAGGCGTACCTGGATACGGAGATCGGGTGTCTTCGACGGAAGCTCCGAGGTGTGAACGCTGTACGCGAGAATGATGTCGCCGTTGCGCATTGTTCCTCCATCATGCAGCATCGACTGTCCAAGGCCGAGGAAGAGTTCATGAAGCTCGTCACGCAGCAGCAGGAGGTGAAAAAAGACGTGGACCGCGTGCGTCGCGAGCTCTTGTCGTTGCGTAAAGTGCGGCACAAACTGCAGGAAGACATTGAGGACGTGGCGCAGGCGAATCAGTCGTACGAGGAGAGGATCCACGCATCCAAGAGTGTGCGCAACCAACTCTCCGAGGAGCTGAGTGAGCTCGAGCGCCGCGCGGAAGTGGAACTGGAGGCCCAACGGCTCAATCTCCCGCCTGAAGACGCAGTCGTTGTGGACGTAGCCAAGCTCATGGGCGCCGTGCAGGAGCGCAACTTGGTTCGTCGAGATGCTACGGTTGGTTTGGGTCTGAGTGGCACCTCAAGCAGGTCGCTCTTGGCTCTCCAAGCGAACGCAGCGGTGATACCGAATGACAAGTCACCGACGTACCTCAACGAGCGCCGAGGCAGCGTCTCAGGACACCCCAAGACTCTCCTGGACTACTGCGTACGAACGGTGCTTTACTTATTGTATCGACTTCATGCACTAACATGTTACTCTCTGCTTCTTGGATTGTAGTCGGCTTTCCGTGTGCTGCAAAACTCGATGGGGTTCGAGGACTTGGCGTCGTTCGAGCAGCAATTCACGGCTGCTGAGGAGCAACTTCTGTCCAAATACAAGGCCAATCTCGCGCTGTCAGATGAAGTTGCAGCTCTGGAGAAGGAACTAGCTGCGGTGAACACGGAGAAGAAGGCCAACCGCGCCAACGCGCGGGGTATTATCCAGGCTAACGAGAAGGTTGAGCGCGACGTCCAAGCGCGCATTCAGACGACGCTCGCGAGCATTAAATCCTACAACGAGCTGCGAGAGCTGCGCAATCGCGAGCACGCCAAGCTGCGTGGAATCATGCTGCGATGTCTTGACGCGCTGCAGATTGACATCGGAGGCTCGGATCTCCCTGAAAATGAAGGCGCGAGCGGTAGCGGGGGTACCAACGCGAGCGCCAACACTGCGGGGTCAAGTACTCACTCACTTTACTGGACTGAGACGCAGTCCCCGGAGCTGCTGGAGATGTTGCAGCGCAAGATGACGCAGGTGGCCGTCACTCTCAAGGTCAAGCACAACTCGCGGATACTGGAGATCCCGCCCGAGGCGCTTCGCCTGAACCGCGGCCATGATGGGCGACGAAGTAACATGTTCTCAACGCGCGAGAGCTCAAAGATCGTCATGGGCCCACGGGAACCTTCGGGCTCCGCGTTGGCAGCCATTCTCAGCACGGTTCAGCCCCCGTCCGTGGAGAACGCGCTGGTGTTGACGGAGAACGCGAGTATGATGGAGGTGATGCACGGACTGCACCGTGCTGTGAGTCCTGCTCGCAGGAAGGCAAGCTCGCTTTCGCTGAGACCGCCTGAAATGGGGAGGATCGAGCGCCATAGTGCCGGTAGCGTCAGCGGTGCGTCCCCTGCAGCGATGGCTTCTCTACATGCAGGAAGCATACAAGCGAGAAGATCGAAGACAGACTTGTTCGCCGTACAGGGGCTTTCCTCCAGACCGTCGCTTGCTGTGATGACCGAGGCAGATAATGAGGAAGAAGAGGAAGAAGATGACGAGGATCAAGACGATGAAGATGGAGGTGAAAGTGGAAAGGATGGAGAGCTGAATGAGACCGAGGGTGACGATGCTGATCCAACCGAAGACGATGAAGACGACAACAGTGATTCACATTGAAATGCGCTCAAAGTCTCTCTATATGGGCTTGACGGTTGTACAGTACGTACGTGGTTTTATCGCACGGAACTCGCCGGGATGCTCTTACGAGAACGACTAGCAACTGGTGGCGCTGGACGAGGGTTGCTGCTCGCTGAGTGTTGTCGTACTAGCCGCTGCCGAATGGACCGTGGAGTCTGCAGCCATTTTGCGCAGAGTGAGTTGGCATATCGCTGGCAGGTGAAGAACCGCGAGTAGTCTGCGGTCTCCTCCACTGCTGCTTGAGCAGACGCGGACGAAGCGGGGAAGATCCGCTCAAAGTGGCCGCGCCGATCCATTTCGTCGTCCATGGAGCGCACAATGTCCCAGTCACTCGCAGTGAATAGATCCAAGTGTGCAGTCTCAAAGCGCTCAACCGCTGGGTCCAGCACGACTTCATGTAGCTGGCGATTTACCGTCGTGACTCGCATCGTTTTACTGCGTCGGAACTGCCTACCCGACGAGGCTGATGAAGGGATCGATGGCCCGCCTTCTGCTGTGTTTGAAGCCGAACCTTCGCGCGCTAGATGGATCTCGGTCGGCATATTCTCGCGGGGTACGCTAGTCATCGGCACTTGCAGCCCTACCAAGTGGAAGGTATCGCTCAGTAGCAAGCCTTTGATGCGCCGGTCAAGTGGCGACCCGCCCATAAGTGACGGAGACACGTTCACTTCAATGAGCCACGGCCGCAACTTGGAGTCGAGCATCAGGTCGAAACCGAAGAGTTCGTAACAAGAGCATTGCCCGGCGAATTGGTGGAGCAGTGGCGTGAGATGCGCCTCGGCAGCGATGATGGTCTTGCAGATGATGGCTCGGATTTGGCGCATGAGCGTCTCGGGGTCGTCCAGCAGCTGCTGCTCCTGCAGTCGGCGTATGAGCGCCGAGAGACTCCACTTGCTGCCTGCGTCTGCTCGCTGCGCGTCCGCGTTCTCCACGAACCCATCGCTGCTCTTGTTGATCGAGTAGTTGGTCAAGTGGGCGAAGCGGTTCTTGGGGTTCTTGAGCGAGTACGCCGCCGTGCAGAAGCGCGTGATGCCCTCCTTGAACAGGTAAATGCGGAGCGGGTCCAAGCTGGTGACGACAACGTACAGCCGCAGGTCGAACTTGTAGCTTTCTCCTCCGTTGGGGCCGAGCAACAGTGGATCAGTCACGTACTTCTGCACTATCCGGGCCTTGACCTTCTTCCCGCTTTTGGATTTTTTGGAGACTTTCCGAGCGTCTTCACACAGCTTACAGGCGTCTCGGTGGGTGAGTACGCGGATGCCGCGGCCACAGGCGGACGCTGGCGGCTTCATGATCCAGAGAGGGCCGAGCGTAGCCGACTTCCGTCGCCCAGCGTCGTCTCTATAGGAGCTCACCGAACTGGGGAAAGTTCCTGCGATGAAGGTTTCGTTACGCTCCAGCGCGCGACGGAACGCGTCGAGTTGGTCGGGCAGGGAGAAGCCCTCGGGGAAGAAGTCGTAGCTCGCTCCGAAGCGCCGACGACAGTTGGCGAGCGTCTTCATGAGTCGGTCCTTGCGGCCGATGACCCACGGGTCGGGGAAGTGGTTGAAGGCCTGCGCGTGGTCCCCTCGGAAGCGCTCGAACTGCGTCTTGGGCACGGGTTTGGCCCACGCCAAGTGCCACGCGCACTTTTTGCGCGTGCGGAAGAACCCCGCGGCTGCGAAGGCGTTCTTGACGCAGTTGCGCTCCCAAGAGGTTCGGTAGAACAGCGAAAGCTCCTGCGCGTCCACGGTGGTGACGATGAGACCCGAGTAGTCCCGTACTACCCCGAGGGAGGGCGGGTAGTCGAAGCACACGGTCGGGTTGCGGCCGAGGGGGTCGCTTCGACTGAAGACGAGCTTGACCACGGGGGCAGTAGGGCACTTCTCCCCCGGTCTCAAGGTTTTGGTGGCTCTACCCGTCGCGTCCACCTCCATTCTACCTCCGTCATCGTTGTCGTCATTGCCGCTCTCTTCGTCGTCGCCCTCTTCGTCCGCGTCTCCTTCACCGTCGCCGTCGTCTTCCTCGTCCTCGAACTCCTGTTGGGGCTGTTGACGACGCCCAGCGAAACCCCGCGACTGGTTGGAGCGGTTGAACACTTGACCAGAGGATGATGAGGCGACGACGGGATCGAGCGCGGCACTTGCAGCTGCTGTGTCCGAGTCATCGATGCGAAGCAGTCGCCGTCGCAAGCTCAAGCGCGTCTCCATCGGATCTGTTCAAGCCTCGAAGTCACCGTTCAGCGTTTAGCGCGTCGCTACAACAGTGATCTCATCCGTTTCCGGCAGTTCGACCCAACGGAACGCGACCACCAAGAGGCGTCACCGCACGATAACAGTCTGGAGAACGACGAACGGCATTTGCTGTACTGGTGAAGAGAGGCTTGACAAGACCGATATCCTATTGAATAGCACCTCTCAGTTCACCTACCTACTGTCTTTCCTAGCTACACCACTGCACTGCACTACAGACACTTCCTCTCTCTTTCGCCCTACAGTCCCAGTCGACGTCGCTCTTGTTCTCGTTCCTGCAGTATCGCCACGCAGTCGAGCGTGAATCCCGGCCACGAGTCGAACTCGATCGCCGCCAGCGGCTCGAAGTGTGGTTGCTCTCCTCGATTGTAGATCCAGACTCGCTGGCCGCTGATATCCACGACCACGCCTTCCCGGGTCCCAGCCTCGACGAACTTGGTCACTTTGTTCTGCAGGTCTCCCATGGTGTTCACGTCGGTCGTGAACTGGACGATCACCGCCGGCATACACTGAAGATACGTCACGTTCTTCTCGTCATCAGACAAACGAGACCAGGACGCTGCGTCGATGAAGGCGAAGTCGGGCACGAACTGCTGGTGGTAGCCGCTCGCGCCGTAATCGATAGACAAGCTGAACGCGTACCCGCAGCGAGACAAGACGACGCCGTGAGCTTCTTGGCCGTGATCGTGTTGCCACTGGCCCAGTTGGGATTGCACTTGCATCTGCTCCAGATTGTATAACGTCCTCAACGCTGCATCTCGCACGATGAGCTCCGGGTAGTCGTACTCGAGGATGAAGAGCTCTTCGTCAGTATCGCTCAAGTTTGGCGGAGGGGTGACGCGGTATCTCCCCGGTCGTGCGGGCACGCGCTGTCCGCTTGGAAGAATGAGCTCCTCTGCGCCGTAGATATCCTCCCCGTTCTCCATGTTGCCGAAGTTCCCGAGCGTTCGTGGTCTTGCTCGGCACATGACGATCTGAGCGGAAGGAAGGTTTGGTGGCTACGTCCCAGACGATGTCGCTATCTATCATCATTGACTTGGTAATTTAGCACTTTCCAGATCGAAGTGGACATTCCAACTGGAGGTTGTCAACCTGCGGTCGACATCGCGGGTATATTCTCTGAAAAGCACACTCACATCGCTTAACTGCAAGACAGGTTGAAGCCAAAACGAATTGAAGTTTGTATTGGCAATGTACCACTTGAAGCTCGAAAGGGTGTTGATGCATCATTCGAAGATCTCAACCAAAAGATGAACACCCGAAGCACGACCCGCGAGGAGGAGGGGGACGTTGTCGCCAGCGCTTCCCCCAAGGCGGAGCAAGACCGCGGCAACAACCAAGAAGAGCACGAAGGCGACGACCCGGACACCAAGATCCGCGATGCAATTGCGGAGCTGACCGCGAATCTGCACAAGATTTCGTTCGGTGAGCCCTCAGACCCCAACGCCAAGTCCCTCCTCCCCAATATCGCGACCTCCAGTCAACTTAAAGAGGAGCTGGCAGCCATATGCAACGAAGTCTTCCGCGTCCTCGGTCCTTACAACCTCGAGGCCACGTACCAACGAGCGCTGGCTCTGGAATTGAGGGAGCGTGGGGTGACGGTACTGTCCGAGGTGGAGATCCCCGTGCTCTACAAGGGCCAGCGGATCGCCACACGCCGCGTGGATCTGTACCTGAAACTGCAGGATAAGCCCGTGATCCTGGAGCTCAAGGCGGTCGTCACGGGCCTCAAGCCCGACCACCTGAAGCAGCTCAAGTTTTACCTGGCCCACTTCGACGTGAGCGAGGGATTCCTCATCAACTTCCCGCATATTACGGGCTTTCCGGACGAGAGCGGCGTGCAGTACAGTGAGCACGTGCTGCAGCCTGAAGGCGGCGCAGGCGTCGGGGACAGAGTCACCAGGTCCACGACACCCCGCAAGGACGCAGCGCCCAAGATCATCCACGTGCAGCAGATCAAGACGCCGGCCAAGAAGACCAAGACCAAGACCAAGACCAAGACCAAGACCAAGACCAAGACCAAGGCCAAGCATGCGTAGCCTTGGAACACGGTGCGAAGAGCGAGAGTGTAATAGCCACGCGCTTCCGTCTTCAGGTGAAGGTTGCAGTTGTCCGTGACTTCATCCATCGAAAGCAGCTTGTGTAAGAACAGCGGGTTGACCAGTCTCGCCTGGCCGCCGAGTTATATACCGCAGCTCCGCAAGTCGGATGTTCGTATGTAGAATCGCGAAAGAGAGCGCCACCTCTCCCTCTTTCCAATGCATACATACTCTCAACCTGCTCGAGCTTCATCATTCTCATTTCAGCTTCCGACAGCTCAAGTCTCCACTTCCTCCTTCTCTCACCACCAACAATGAAGTTCTTCCAAGTCCTCGCCATCGCCGCCATCGCCGTTGCCGCCGTGAGCGGTCAGGCTACCAACACCGCCGGCACGACTGCCGCCACCACCGCTTCCTCCACGGCAGGGGCGGCTACCACTACCACCACGGGTGCCGTCACTCCTTCCGCCGTGGACGCAGCCAACAACGCTACTGCAGCTTCTGGCGCCGACTCCACCGCCACTGCTGCCTCTGGAGCCGATGCCACTGCGGCCACCATCGGTGCGACCGGTAGCTCTGCGACGGATACGTCGGTGGGTACCTCAAGCTCCACTGGCATGGCGACTGCCGGCGACTCGACCACGTCCTCTTCGGACTCTTCGCTGACGTCGGACTCGCCTTCGACTACCGACAACTCGACATCGAAGAAGACCTCGGCGTCCAGCGCCAGCGCTGCGTCGGGTTCGAGTGGTGCGTCTCAGGTGACTGGTGCCATGGGCGCTGTGGCAGCGACCGCAATTGCCGTTGGAGCGTACTTCCTGTAAGTCAGCAAGCGTAGTTCCGGCGAGTTCGACAAGGTGAAGTTTCGAGGAGGCCCTCGAGCTGTCGCGACAAGGTGCAGTAAGCCATCTTTAGCTTCTGACAGTCACCACTGTGAAATATACGTTCCTTTTTCGTTTCCATCAATCCCATCACCTAGTATGATCAAACCCCCCCTGAAACTCTTGTATCTCCAACCCTCAAGTACAGCAACCAAGCATAAAAAACTTTAGATCATATGAATGTATTGAGCGCGCGAGTTTGTGCGTAGCACGTTACCAGGGCGTGTCTTGCAGGACCAGCAGAAGCGTCACGCGCTTGCTTCGTCAATTTTGGGCTTTACATTTACCTTAGCGGCGGCGGCGGTCGCGGCCGGGCGAGCGACGTTCATCGTCTGCACCCTTCCGAGCATCAGTCAGGAACTGGTCCAGTCCAAACGGATCGTCATCACTGTCCTCACTGGGCGAACGACGACGACGCTTGCGGTCAGCTTCTCTACTGCGCGAACGAGAGCGAGACGGCGATCGTCGCGATCGAGAGTAGGACGGCGATCGCCGACGACTGCTACGTCCTCGCGAGTAGGAGGGGGAACGTGAGCGCGCGCGCGGCCGTCCACGCTCCCGGGAGTACGAAGGAGAGCGCGATGGAGACCGCTTCCGTCCACGCAGCGCGGAGCGATCGCGACCACGGAACGGCGATGGAGAACGAACTCGTGCTCGTGAGCGCGGCGGCGACCCCGACGGCGAGCGACCGCGGCCTCTCGAACGCGGTGGAGAGCCCGACGGAGAACGGCCACGGCCTGAACGCGGTGGCGAGCCCGAAGGTGAGCGACCGCGGCCCCGAGAGCGAGGAGGCGACCCAGACGGCGACCGGCCGCGGCCCCGAGAGCGAGGAGGCGACCCAGACGGCGAGCGGCCACGACGCGGAGGAGAGCGCGAGGGTGAACGGGCCTTCTCCCGAGCTCGAGGAGGAGAAGCGGACGGCGACCGCCGCGCATCATCACGGCGAGATTCAGGCGCGCGCGTCTTGTTGGCATCTTCATCCTCCTCATCCCTCACGTTGTCGTATGAGAACTGCACAGGCCCATCCCGACCTCCACCGCGAGCCACAGCCTCTGTGCCACGGAACTGCTTATCAGCCTTGAAGCGCTTGGAGTGGCCGCCCTTCAACTCCTCGTACTCCTTATCGGCATCGAATGCGCCGTCATCACCCTTGGGGCGGTACACGCTCGCCTTGCCACGGTCCACCATCGGCTTCGAGTAGACATTGTACTCGTCTTCCTGGCCAAAACCCGAGCTGATACCCTGCGACTGGTTGAACAACCGCGAGTCGAACATGCCGTCACTACCACCAGCTCTTCCGCCACCCTGCAGTTGCCCCAGGGCAATCTTCTCAGAGATATCACGGTCCTCATCACGCGCCAGCTTGCCCTTCTTGCCCAGCTTCTCCATGCGCATTTCACGTTCGCGCTCCTTCTTGCGCTCACGGCGGATCCGGTCGCGCTCCCTGCGTCCTTCGGCATCGCTGTCATCGTCTTCATCGTCACTGTGGCGGCGCCGACGGTCACTATGCGCGCTGGACGATCGGCGTCGTCGACTGCGGCTCCTGTCCTCCTCCTCGTCACTGTCCGCGCGGATGCCCGCGCGCTCCATCCGCGCCTTGGACGCCAACTCACGCAGCTCGTTCTCCTTCTGCTCCTTCTGCTTCATGGCCAGCTTCTTCTGCACCTGCGCGCGCATGTTGACCTCTTCTCTGGCCTTGCGCTCGGCGATGGCCAGCGCCTCCGACAAGCTGGCGAAGTTGTCGTTCACCGTCACCTGCTGCAGGCCGCGTCCATCAGCGGCCAGACGCTTGTCCAGTGCAATGGTGAAGCCCTTGGAGTTCTTCCAGTTGGAGATGCAGGGCGGGATCTTCCACGACTGCTGGTCTGCCACCGTTAGCTTCCTGGGGGGCGAGTGCAGCACCGGCACGGGCGGGGACGGCGGCCCGCGCACGGCCTTGGTGTGCTGGAACTTGGGCGGCTCCATGGGGTCCTTGGCCACGTCCACCATGCGGATGATGCGCTGCTTGGGGGCGCCCGCCGCGCCCTGGTCGTTGGGCGTGTAGCGGATGTACTTGGCCGTCTCCTTGGCGCTCTTCTGGCGCCCGACGTTGGTGGGCAGCGAGCTGGCCACTTTGCCCTGCACCAGCGCCTGCAGCGCCTCGCGCGTGCGGCTGGCGGTCTCCTGCTCCTCGTCCTTGGAGGGAAGCGCCAGCGCCGCTGCGTCGCCATCCTTCTCCACGATGTCGCTGAACTTGGTGTAGACCTTAGCCTTGTCGCGGTGCTGCTGGGTCACGATGGCGTCGTAGCTCACCTTGCCGTCCTCGCCGCGCACTTGGAGGGCGAGGGTGCCGCTATTTTGAGAGGAAGAAGAGGACCCATTTCCGCCCTTTTTGCCCATTCCGAGCGGGAACTGGGCCACGTGCAGCTCTGGGTACGCGCCGCCGTCGCCGAAGTCCTCATTGCGCCGCGGCACGAACTGCTGCTTCACGCGCAGAGGGTACCTGGGGAGGCGGGTGGAGGCCGCGCGCTGCGAGGACGCAGGGGCAGCCGAGGCGGCGGGCGCGGCGTCCGAGAAGGTCGTGTACGAGCGCACGGGCGCCGGGAAGAGAGCGCTCATGGCCGGCGGCAGGAAGGCTCCGATTGTCGGCGTTTGGTTTCGGGCGTGGAACTCCGGCTAAATCCGATCGAAATCGGTACTCCGGCTAATTCCGACATGTGTGCAACATCTTTAAAGATTAAAAAATTTGATTGGGTGGTTGTGTTTTGAGCCAGACCAATAATTTTGAGAAAACACAAAATGTGCTGCGAACCTACCATAGGATTCAACCATAAGGATTCCATTTAACTTGGCCTTACTATTCCCCTTTGTGAAAGCGCTAATTGAGACAATTTGTGTGAGCTCTTTAGTTTGTGAAGACGGCTACAGTGAGTTGTAAAGTTCGCTACATGTAACTCAATATCGATCCAAGACTACGGAGTAGGCAAGCGGCAAGCACTTCTGGCAAAGATATGGTGACCGAGATGGCGATTCAAGTACGAGAGTGTTGTTGTATATTACAAGTTACAAGACGAACGCACTACAGTAACATGCCACAAAATCACCGGATCACTCGGATACCCGCTGGTTGTCTTACAGGAAGTACACGCCGACGGCGAGTGCGGTGGCAGCAACGGCACCCATGGCACCTGACACCTGCGAGGCTCCACTCGAACCCGACGCACCGCTGGCGCTTGATGCCGAGGTCGACTTCTTCGAAGTGGACTTGTCCGAGGTCGAAGACGAGTCCGACGCCAGCGACGAGTCCGTCGTGGACGTGGTCGAGTCGCCTGCGGTTGCCATACCAGTGGAGCTGGAAGACCCGACGGACGTGTCCATCGCCGCGCTGCCGGTAGCATCGATGGCAGCAGTGGAGGCGCCAGAGCCAGACGCACCGGTAGCGGTGGTATCAGCCGAAGGGGTAGCAGTGGAGCCCGCCGTGGAGGAAGCGCCAGTAGTTCCTGTCGCGGGGGTCACTGCAGGGGTGGTTGCGCCGGTCGCTCCCGTCGTGCCGGTCGTAGTAGAGCCAGTCGTAGCGGCACCGCTGTGTGTGTCGGTTGTGGCAGCATTAGTCGTAGCGGCACCGGTGTGCGTGCCGGTGGTGGTCTGGCCGCTGACGCCAACGACGGCGAGGGCGGCGATGATGAGGACCTGGAAGAACTTCATGGTTGTCGGGAAGGGAATGTGGAGTTGAGACTTGAGCTCTTGAAGGTGGAAATGAGAATGACAAGTTTTCACCAAATCATATCCAAGATCGCCGCCGGGACTTCCAGGGAGAGGTGTATCAGTGGAGACTCCGCTCCTGTTTTAGTTAGTGGAGTGCCATATGATCAGCAAATTTGTGGAGAAAAGCTCACCATGCGAGCACTCGACCTGATGACAACGTCCACAGCTGCTGACTACCGCTGCCCTCACCACAACGCAGACTATTGACAAGAAGTGTTTTGGTCGTACCTGGGCCGGGACCACGTTTGTCGTGTCTTTGATGACCACCATGTTTACCTTCGTTAGTGGTTGAAGCGAGTCACGCATGGAGACGCGACGGGCTACTGTATATTCGTGCGCAGTGAAGGTGAAGCAGTTACCTTGAAATACTCACCCGGTTTAGTAGGCTGCGGAGCAGATACTCTTTAGCTCTACTGTGTACATGTAGTGCGTACTTGTAGTGTACCGTAAAAAGTCTACAGCTTTAATCGCCATGCCAACAGAGGCATAAAGTAACGATCCTAGGAGGATATGGGCCCTGACAAGCATTTTCGCGGAGCCCAGGTTTGCGCTACCTCGTGAAGACAAACGCTGCGGAAGTACCTTAAAATGCAGGCCGCTTCAATCCGCTGTCCCGATCATAGCGGACTACATGTAGAGCTAGGAGTTGCTTCACACAATGCCGCAGCAGGCCCCAATATTGATTCCTTGTTTTGTGTCGCAGAGGAAAACCCTCTTCGACTGCGGTTGCCGCCTCCTTTCGCCTAAGATATGGTGACGCTCCTTCTCACGACCAAGTGGCGCTAACAGCAGCCCAACCAGACGAAATTTATCTGGGGCGGATATATGCCCCCTGACTATCCATAGCCATATGAAGCCGCAACTCCTGAAGTTACCTTTTCATAGGGCTCACCAGCGTACACCTACAAAGAGAGCACTATTCATCGCATCTCTCCCTGGAAGTCCCGGCGGCGATCTTGGATATGATTTGGTGAAAACTTGTCATTCTCATTTCCACCTTCAAGAGCTCAAGTCTCAACTCCACATTCCCTTCCCGACAACCATGAAGTTCTTCCAGGTCCTCATCATCGCCGCCCTCGCCGTCGTTGGCGTCAGCGGCCAGACCACCACCGGCACGCACACCGGTGCCGCTACGACTAATGCTGCCACAACCGACACACACAGCGGTGCCGCTACGACTGGCTCTACTACGACCGGCACGACGGGAGCGACCGGCGCAACCACCCCTGCAGTGACCCCCGCGACAGGAACTACTGGCGCTTCCTCCACGGCGGGCTCCACTGCTACCCCTTCGGCTGATACCACCGCTACCGGTGCGTCTGGCTCTGGCGCCTCCACTGCTGCCATCGATGCTACCGGCAGCGCGGCGATGGACACGTCCGTCGGGTCTTCCAGCTCCACTGGTATGGCAACCGCAGGCGACTCGACCACGTCCACGACGGACTCGTCGCTGGCGTCGGACTCGTCTTCGACCTCGGACAAGTCCACTTCGAAGAAGTCGACCTCGGCATCAAGCGCCAGCGGTGCGTCGGGTTCGAGTGGAGCCTCGCAGGTGTCAGGTGCCATGGGTGCCGTTGCTGCCACCGCACTCGCCGTCGGCGTGTACTTCCTGTAAGACAACCAGCGGGTATCCGAGTGATCCGGTGATTTTGTGGCATGTTACTGTAGTGCGTTCGTCTTGTAACTTGTAATATACAACAACACTCTCGTACTTGAATCGCCATCTCGGTCACCATATCTTTGCCAGAAATGGGGTCGATATTGAGTTAGCAAACTTTGCAGGTTGAAGTCACTCACTGTAGCCATCTTCACAAAATAGAGAGCTCGCACAAATTGGCTCAAATGCGAATACATGTAGTGAGTTCAAGTGAAGTGGAATCCTAATTTTAGGTTTACCACACATTTTGTGTCCTCATCTGCGATTGGTCAAATCAGATACCTTCATTTTGCGGAAGAGGACCTTCCCTGGAACGCGACACCTCATCAATAAAGTGATTCCCAGGTTCCTCCGGCAGCATGGCGGTGGGTACGACGGACGCGGAGACTGACGGACTGCGGCGCCGACACGTACAGGGCCAGAACCAAGCGGCGGGTGAGGCGCCCGAGCGCGCGCAAGCCTCGCCGCCGCGCCGCGCCGCGCGGCCCCAGAAGGGCTTCGTGGAGCTGCTCATGTCGCCGCTGAGCTTCGTGCTGGGCGACGGCGAGCCCGAGGACCCGCAGGCCGCGGCGCGCAACTTCACGCACAGCCTGCGCCGCCGCTACGGCGAGAACGTGACGCCGCGCTTCGAGCACACGTCGTTCCGGGACGCGGTGAGCACGGCGCGCACGGCGTCCAAGTTCCTGCTCGTGTTCCTGCACTCGAACATCCACGACGACGCGGACGCCTTCTGCCGGTAGGAGCACAGGAGCGTTGCAGACAGTTGAAGAGCATATAGGCAGGTGATGTGGGTGCTGACTGTGTGGAGGTGATGCTTGCAGCAAGGCCATGTGCACGGAGCGCATGAGCGCCTACCTGAACAACAGCGACTGCATCGTGTCGTGGGCGGGCTGCGTGCAGCACGCGGAGGGGTTCGGCGTGAGTCTGTCGCTCGGGTGCGCTACGTTCCCGTTCCTGGCGCTGCTGTCCTGCGTGTCGCGCGGCATCAACGTCGTGGAAAAGATCACAGGTGCGGAAGGAAGGGGTTGTAGCAGTGTATTTCGTGTTGAACGTTGCCTAATTATTGTTGCTGCCAGCTAACTTGCCGGTGGACGAGATCATTGAGAAGTTGAACGCGGCGGTGGACCGCAACAACCAGATCTTGGCCACGGCGCGCCACATCCGCCAGCAGCGGACGGAGGCGCAGATCCTGCGCGAGCAGCAGGACCGGGAGTACCAGGAGTCGCTGGCGGCGGACCGTCGTCGAGAGCAAGAAGCGCGTGAACAGGCTGAGCGGGAAGAGAAGGAGCGGCTGCGGAAGGAGGAGGAGGAGCGACGCGCAGAAGAGGAGGCCCGTCGCGCTGAAGAGGAGAAAATCCGCCAGGAGCAAGAGTACAAGGCGGAGATCGAGGTCAAGCGTGCTCGGATCGCCGACGGTCCGAAGACACGCGCACTGCCTGGCGCGGACTACAAGACAGCAGTGATCAAGTTTCACCTACACAACGGTACTCGCCTCGACCACATCTTCTACGCCCACGACACACTGAAGACAGTGCGCGACTTCATCGACGTGGAGTTCTTCGACCGCGAGATCACAATCCGGAACTACGAGTTGGCCACGAACTTCCCGAAGAAGGTTTACGGACCAGATCTCCTGGATGTCACCCTCGCTGATGCGGTACGTGTTTCAGTAGCTGGAGTGTACGTTGAAGTCGCTTGGCACTGACGAGATACGTGTTGTGTTAATGATCTGAACAGGGCCTTGCGCCCCAGGCGCTCGTGTTCGTGCAAGACCTCGACTCGTAGACGCATTAGAGGACCTGGAAATGAATGCCAAATGCCAGCACGAGCGAGCGAGATCCCCGGTGGGGATAATTTAACGGCTACCTCTTCGCCTGCCTTACCTAGGTACCCTGCTGCCCGATAAATGAATACGAAAAACAGAGCAATCATGCATTAATGGATCGAGTGGATCTGCAAATTCTAGTGATCTCTGGAAAAGTACAATAGGTAAAGGTGAGTGAGTTCTATCGCATTTAAAGCTGAAGCGAGCGCTGCTTGCCCGATGCTGCGCGGTACATGCGGTCATGCAGCGCTGCAGCCTGCTCGTGCGGCTCCGAGATGACACCGGTGATAACCACCCGCTCGACGCCCTGGACGTTCTCGGACCAACGCAGCGAGTCGAAGATGCGCTGCGAGGCCTCGGCGACGTCTCCGTTCGGCGAGAGGTCCATGTATGCTCGTACGCGGTCCTTCAGTCCGACCAGCTTGCCGCGGAAGTCGATGACGACCCAGCGACTCACGTCCTGCTTGCTGGACGCGTCCATCTCGTCAGCCGCATCCGCCTGGTACAGATACGTGTCCACGTCGGGGGCGTAGTGCGTGATCATCTGTCCTGGGGCCTGCTGCGCCTCCTTGGTCTGCATCTTGGCTTCCTTCTGGATGGTCACCACGTCGTACATTCCACCGAGCAGCTCTGCATTCTCCTTGAGCACCTGCGACAGCGCCTGCTCCGACACGCCGCCACGGCGGAAGACAATGAGTTTGCGCTCCTCGGGCACAATCTTGACCACCGTGGACTCAATGCCGACTTCACAGCACCCTGTCTCATCCGCCTCGATGACGCTCAAGTTGGTGCACGCACCCAAGTCATCCATCACGTGCTTGGCCGTGGTCGGCGACACGTGGCCGAATCTGTTGGCACTCGGCGCTGCCACGGGCACTTGCGCCGCCTTGAGCAGCGCCTGGGCGATGGGGTGCTTGGGGCAGCGTAGTCCCACGAACCCCGTGTTGGCCGACAGCGTCAGCGGCAGCGCCGGCACCGCCTTGGCGATGAGCGTGAGCGGCCCGGGCCAGAAGGCCTTGCCCAGGCACTCGAAGGCCAGGCGGCCGCTCGGCGTCAGGTCCACGAGCTTCACGGCGTCCTCCATGGCCGGCACGTGCACGATCAGCGGATCTGTGAGCGGCCGCGCCTTGGCCGCGAAGATGGACAGCACCGCCTCGGGGTTGAGAGCATTGGCGCCCAGGCCGTAGACGGTCTCGGTGGGGAAAGACACCAATTGGCCGCTGCGCAGCTGCTGCGCAGCGACGGCGAACCCGTCGGCGTCCGGTTTGAGGAGTCGAGCCATGGTGCTGCCGCGGCGATTGCGAGCGCTACAGAGCGAGGTGACAAGTCGCAACAAGTGCGAACGGAGCAGAGACGTTTTGGCTTGAAGATGAGGCAGGTCGCGGCGAGCGGCGGGCGGTCGTCGCGGAGATACGAGCGCGCGGAACTTCGGTGGGAGGTGGAAGAGGGCACGCGCGTGCCTTTGGCTGGTGACGGTTTGACATGTAGAATTTGGGTGCACCACATGAGACGGGTACAGTGTACCGTTGAAGCGTGAAAGTTTTGGTTGAAGAGGATGTGTGTGGCATGGAATGGAGCCGCTCGTCTACAGGCTGGCGGTGCGCTGTGAACAAGGCGATGCTTGTGCTTGTAATGTGGTAGTCGCAGCGGATTTGTGGGGCAGGAAAAGACTACGGTACCGAGCTATGAGGCTCGGTACCGTAGTCTGGGACTCCAGACTGTGTGAGGGCGTTGAGCAAGATGGAGGAGAGGGCAATGGTGCAGGTGCTTCTGCCGTCCACAATAATGTATCCACCTGTAGCACTCCACTGGAACTCCCAGCACGAGCGCTTAGGCAAGCGCCTACCAACCAGCCTGGCTGCAGCGTGCATGCGTGCAGGGGGCAGCGTATCTTGCCGCCTTCGTTGCGGAGGCGGCAGGTGACTCGGGTTGCTCAGCCTCCCGCATCGAGCACGGACTCCATGGCATGGGTGCGCGTTGAGCTGAGAGACTTTCGCCTCATCAGCGGAGCCCACTCTCGCTCGCCAATCACCAGGGGAAAATCGTTTTCGTCGACGACTCCGGTGGACATCCGGTTCGCGTGACTTCTGACACGACGGGCTGGTCCGTTACGTGAGCCCCCACCGTGGCGTCACCGCGGGGCGGCATGGTTCGTTGCAGTCAATGGTGCCTTCAGCACAGGCGAGTCGCCTGTGCTGAAGGCGGCCAGGCGAGCCTGTGCTTCGGCGACAAGCAGGGAGCACGTCGGTGAAGGCTAGAATTACACCGGAAGAGCGCTGGACCTGCTGGTCATCGATCCTTTGTCCTGCGGGAGACATAGCCGAGCTGGGTAGAGCTCATCTCCCGCGGTAGCGCTCGAAAGCGTCCCCCATGGCAAAGCGGAAGGGGGCAAAAGCGTCCATGTCCCGCGACGCATCCCCCTCAGCTCAGCAGCTTCGCCCGCATTTTATCATCTTGGTCCTCCTGCTCCGCATCAATTTATGCAGGCTTATCGTTCTGCGCGGGCGTCAAAGTTCTCGTCTGGGCTAGGCCAACCTTGACGAGGGCAGAAGACCTCCGTTACACGCTGCCAAGTTGAAGCGGATGTCAACGATGCGAACACGCTTCGAGTCGAAGTTCGACCGAGTTCCCTGCCTGCCAGAAGAGACTTTGGCCGCCCTCGCAACGCGCGACTTTTTAATCACGGTACAAAGGGATCCGCTGACTTCATGCACCGGAACCGTACGTCAAGTACCGAATACAACCACCAAGTGTAACGAATCTTCAGTTTTGCACGAGCCCATCCTCTCGTTCGTCCACAGGTCTGTCTCTGTGGCACGAGTCACAGAGAGACGGGTAAAGTCTCCGCTGCGAGCACCGCGGAGCGCCAATCCGGTGTCCTGCTGGGCCCCGCGTCACGAGCGGCGACTTTCGATGCACAGGCGCGCCCCCGCCTATGGCCGCTTCACTGCCGCTCGCAATGTGGAGCCGGCACCGGCGCGCCGCCCTATCGCCGGAAGCCGAGTTGCCCAGTCAGCGCTTCACCCACGTGCTTGCGTCCGCGGTGATTAGCACGCCGCCTTGACTGGAGCAGGGATGGCTCTGCTCGCAACGCACAGCAGGAGATACAAATCCGAGCCTTTTTGCACGGCAGCGCAGCCATTGTCAGCCCACCTCCACTCCACTTCTCGTTTTGCTCCGGCCCCCTCAACGCAAGAGTCGAGACGCTCGTTAAACAGCGCGACAACATGGCGTTCTTCACGACCGAGGACCTCAAGATCGCCTTCAACTTCTTCTGTACCGTGTACGGCATTGGTACGCTAGGCCTGCCGTCCAACTTCGCGCGCTCGGGCGCCACGATCGCCACGATCGCGCTTATCTTCATGGGCTTCGCCAACATTTGCTCGTGCGTGGCCATCTCGCGCGTCATGCTGGCCGCCCCCAAGTCGGTTAAGACCTACGGTGACGTCGGCGAGTGGTGCTGCGGCAAGATCGGCCGTTACGTCGTCCTCTTCGTCCAGTTCGGTGTTTGCTGCTTGGTGCCGTGCGCGTTCCTGGTGCTCGGTGGTATCCTGCTCGACGGCATCTCCCCCGGTGCCTTCGACCAGCAGTACTGGAGTATCATCATGGCCGCCATGCTGATGCCTGTGATCCTCACCCCAACGCTCAAGGAAGGTGCTGCTGCTGCCTTCGCTGGCTGCCTGGGCACGCTCCTGGCCGACGCCATCGCTCTCGGCGTGCTGGTTAACGGCATCGGCTCGGACCACCCGTCCGTGATCAACCCCGACTTCGACTTCGGCCAGGTGGCCAGCTCCTTCGGTAACCTGGCTCTGGCCTACTCCGCCGCCGTACTGGTGCCTGCTCTGCAGCGCGAGCACTCGCAGCCCGAGCGTATGCCGCGCATCGTCGCCACCACGATGGCCTTCACCGCGTGCCTGTTCCTCATCATCGGCGAGACCTCGTACGCCTTCGTGGGCTGCCAGATCCCCGGCAACCTGCTGTTCGCCATCGGCGGCACGGCGCTGGACCTGAACGCCAACCGCGGTGCTGTTGTGCTGGCTTACCTGTTCATGCAGCTGCACATCACCATCGCCATGTCCGTGATCCTGAACCCCGTGCTCTACATCGCTGAGCGCGGCATTCTGGGCATGCACAAGCGTCCGCTCCTCGCTGCTGTCGACGAGGAGTCCCCCGCCTTCGAGGGCATCAACACGCCGCAGAAGGACCGTGCTTCGGCCATCGGCGTGACGGGCCCGTCCGTGACGTCGCTTGCTGACGCCGAGTACGACCTGTCTCCGGAGGCGCTGCTCGATGAGTACCACAACAGCGGCCCCATCGTGACCGCCAAGTACATGACGATCCGTATCGTTGTTGTGGTGATCCTCCTCGTCATCGCCATCATTTTCAAGGACCACTTCGTCGACTTCACCGACTTCGTCGGTGCCTGGGCCGTGTCCATGGCCTGCATCATCCTGCCGATCTTCTTCTACCTCAAGGTGTTCTGGAACCGCACTCCGTGGTACGAGAAGGCTATTGGTGCCTTCATCATCGTTGTCTGCGCCTGCCTCGGCGGCTACGTGACGTACACGACGGGCAAGAACCTCTTCCTCAACATTGTGAGCGACAAGACGTTCCCGTACTGCCCCTCGGGCTACGACATGGTAGTGTACACGAACGAGACGTTCTACGGCAACAACTAGAGTACTCGTGGTTAGCATGCTTGTTGCTCAAGTGGCTGCGCGCTGTTGTGGTTTATAACAGCACCGCACGGTTTCTGGGCGACACGCTCTAGCTCTCTGTGTAATAAACAGTATGATTCTATTGATGCCCGTGTTGGAGTTCCAAGTGCTGAATAGCGAGTGTGCAGTGTAGCGAGTTCACATTAGAACTCAAACCGAGTAGGTGATCTAATGCGAAATTCGTTGTTGTATTTGTGCCCACTCAGAGATTTGGTTCGTTGCAAAGTGAAATGGTGGGGAAAGCAACAAAGCAACGGAGATTTGATATTTCCGAAGTCACTCAGTATTTTACGACCATACTCGGTTCTAATCGAGTGCATGGCACACACAAAGTCGCTTAATCTCTTCGGGTAGACTACTTAGACTCACTTATTTAAGATGCTGAACACTGTCGCGTCATTATCACCCCTCCTGCACCTGCTCCTTCGATGACGCGACGGATGCGGAACATGCTGCGGATGAGGACCGCAACGCTTGCGGTCACGCTTCTTCGCATCGAAGCTCGCGGCAGGCTAGCAGCAGACGCACGCCGTGCAGGCTGGGCTTCATTGAGCTGAATTAACCAGGCAACTGTCGACTGCTTCTTCGCGGGGCGCTCGAGCTCCACTGTATGCAGGGATGTCGTTTGTTAGTTAACCAGGCTACTTAAATACACAAGTGGACTCGGCGCCACTGCCGGTGATGTCGAGATCGGCGCCAAGTAAGGCCAGAAGTGTCCAGTTTGACCGACAAGTACAGCGTGCTGGGTGGTTGCGAAGTCATTGAGCATTTTCCCAGGTCTATTGTGAAATTTCCGATATAGCGCCAAACTACGGATTAGATCAATCCTACGCCCCGAGCTAAGCTATTCGGACTTGCTTAAGTATTTAACGAAGATCACCTTCAATAGCGAGTAGCTAATCTCGGTTGGGACGACCTCAGTCTTCGACAAGTGTATCATAGCAAAATCGTGTAGTGCTAAGAGTCTGATAGAGCGCTGACAAACTCGTTTTAAGGTCTATTTGGCTTTTGGTTGGGTTTTGGTTTTCGCCGGAAACTGTGCGCGAGTTGTTGATGTCGCATCAATAGTGTGAGCTCATGCGCCCACGGGTCAAGATTACATTGGAAGAGCGAGGTGTTGCATGCTTCCGGTCGAACTCAGTTTCCACAGTATGACGTAGATCCACACATTATGCGTGGATCGAGGCCTTCGACTTGCAATCTTCGAGTAGCGTTTGTAGTAATTTCACCATTGGAGAAACATGAATATGTATCCAAACCTTAATTGGGCATGCCCGAAACGTTATTCCGTCATCTGATCCTGTCATGGAGGGATCCCAAAGCTTTGTATCAACTGACGGAGGGGAGATCATCGGCTACATCCACCGCCGGAAACCCAACTTGCACTTACACGGTACATGTACACGTAAATACGATTGTGTAACCTGAGGCCATGCCGTCAACGAGGGCCAAAGCTTCGCGAGCATTCGTCAATCCCCAGCAAGCAATCAAGTGAACTATGTGCACCGTGCACATGAAAGCTTTTAAGCTGTAGACGAACAGTACAGTGGCGGCAAGCCCGTCTTGCGCCGCGTGAGTCGCGACCGTCAGCAAGGGTGGTCAGCGCAAGACAAGCAAGCGAGCGTTGAGTGGCTTGCACCATTTCGCCATCGAGGATGACCTCTGTGTTGGACGAACGCGAGACCGCCCGCCCAGAGCAGAGAGAATTCCTTGCAAGCCAGTGCGTCTCATTCGGCGTCTGAGGATGCTTCAGCTTCATTTCTCTAGCCGAGACCGTACATAAATGCACATGGATCGCCTGCTGCAGCCTCCGCCTTCTGCGCTTTTCAGCAGCAACATCCTCGGACTGTCCCGGAAGTCAAGCTTTTGCCAGCTTTCGCTAGCTGACGTGGCGGCTTCGAGCGCTTTCGTCTCGGCTCGAGCGCAGCGGCCCGCTTTGTGACGAGGCAACCTGTGCCGGTGCATCGTCGTTCGCTCATCCCTTTTCGTCGACAGATCAGAGGGCTTGACCGGTATTGTCGGGATTGTCCTGGGACCAAAAGCCACCAACTGCCACCAAAAGTCACCAAAAACCACCATGTCCTGACATCTGTCCTGTGACCCCCGACAAATATAACAGCCAATAGGAGACAACATTCAGCAATCTCGCCAGAAGCAGCAAGTTGATGCCAACAAGATCAGCGACCGTCACTGCGGTGGAGGCACTGCGGGCCCGCAAGCTCGGACGGTGCATGAAGTAAGTGCTGCAGATCCTAATGAGATGTATGCGGTGACCTATGTTCTTAACTATTCGATTTGCTTGTGCTGATATGGCAGCAGACTCTAGTGGTGATGTGAAGCCGACTACTGAGCGGGACAGACTTACCACAGCTAGCTGTATCAAGTGGCTGCTCAGAGCTGCTGCGGCCTCTACTCTGACTAGTGCTGTGGCTAACAAGAACAGGGGGCGAGGCCTTGATCGTGCTAGGCATCCTGCATCACTGTTGCACTAGATCTACCCGCGTCGATATGGTTTCGGCGACTCAGCTGGCGCAAAGCGCAGGCAAGCTCATGGAAGCCAACGTACCGTAGACGATTGAGGCTCACTTCGCCGGCGTTCTTTCAGTTGCGGATCGACTCCAACTCGTGCTATGTGAAGGTACATACTCATTTTCAAATGCGTTGTGGGGTGTGCTAATTACTAAGATACTACTACTTGTTGTATATTGATGTAGACGTTTAGCTGGTGGCAAGCGGATTTATTCAGCATGAAAAGAAACTGGTAATAGACTGCATTGGTGCTGATTGGCGGTGCATGCAGTTCGGATTGGTGCTGTTTGGGTCCACATCCACGCTTTCGTTTGTTGCAGCTTGCGCACGCTGGGCCTGTTGGCCGTGCACTGTTGAGCGTTTGACTGTGTACAAATGCAGGTGGTACAGGTGCTGGGTTTGAAGATACACTCCCGGATACCGGTGCTGCTGTTGGCACGCTGTTGCCTTCTGCTGCCTGTAGCACTGCGCGCCGTTTACGCTCTGCATTGAGTCGACAACGAAGTTTGTTCAAATCCAAGCAAGGTTTTCGACAAAATCTTGTTGACTCAGCTCATTACGTCCATGCCTTGAAGCAAACAGCAGCTTCTGAATATCGGTCTGTGTTGTGTCATCTCGCAGCAAGGTTCCTTCTGCTCGCTCTGCTTGAAGTGGGATCATGTCGTAAAGTGCTTCCCATGGGCGGTGAACAGGAGCCTCCCCGCCACCGGGTCTATACTTGTGCCGCAAGCTAACCGGGCCTGGACGAGTTGCTAGCAGTACGTTGACGTACTCTAGCTGAGGCGAATCAGGAACAATGCCACGGCATAAGACAGCACTGCGACTCAGTGTTATGAAGTCAACCGCATTAAATTCAGGATTCCGCCTAAACTTGGCTCCGACCTTGACATTATGCTAGTATCACAACCATAATGAAAGGGTTAACATACCGTCCAGTAAAAAAATCTCCTGCAAGAAAACTAACCTGTAACAGGAAGATATCCAGGATACGCAGCCCAACCTCGATCGAAAGCACCCGATCCAGAAGTTTTCTCAACTTTGAATGAATCGCTTCAAGTTGACTTATAGACACCACTCGCACCGTACTGCCACCTTCACTGTAGTCACTCTCTTCAACAAAAAGGTCTCCTTGCCTAATCTGCTCGAGATTGCTGTTGACACAGCCCTCCCATTCGCTGGTAGATACACGAATACTTGATGTTGGCACTCTAGAGGCAGCTTCCGCAAATTTTTTTGCTGTTGCACTTGGCGATCGAATTTTTCTTTCTACGTCGTAGATGCTGCCGAAAGTCGCTTCGCGAGCCAGCCTCGCTGAGCTTGATCAGAATTTTTTTCCGTGAGCCTCTGAATGACGTGAAAAGGGTCCTGTTTCACCGCGACCGAATCTCCAAAGAGTTTTTTATAAGGCTGCGCATCCCATTAGCGTGGTCACACACACAGAACCGCTTCTCTGCCGGATGGACCGCTAGCTTATCGGCAACACACTGTAAAATAGCTTCTGTTTCTTCGTGGTTCTCGGAACGCGTTAGACCTCTTGTAACTACTTGACCTATTTCGTTCTGTACAAGAAGCAACATACGCACACTTGAAGCTTGCTCTTTGCTTCCGTCAGATCCGAAAACTTTCAACTTGCTACAGAATTTTTGAGAGTGATCTACTCTGATAACCTTTTCGCATTGTGAGCCGGCCATTTGGCCTTCGAGTAACCTACTACACACTTCCGTTTGTGAGAGCCATACCTTTTGCAGCGCCTCGCTGTCTAGACAAAGTTGGTTAGTCATGTACTGCTCGACCGATTGCAAGAGTGGTGGTGCATAAGCAGTATCCGCAGCTTTTCGTTTCTCAATCTCGCAACCTGCACGAGCCAACAAAGCATAATAGCGCTTCTGACGGCGCCGCGTTACATTGTCTGTAGCCCCCGCCAGTCCCTTGGTTGTAAGCATGCTGTCATACACTAGATCAAATAAATCTAACGAGATTGCGGTCTGGTAAGTCAACAAATACGGGAATGCAAGGAATACCGCTTTCGATGAAGAAAGGTAAGCATCATCAATTTTAAAGAACGATCGTCCTGTAGAGCACTTGTACCTTGCATAATACAAAATGGTTTTGTGTTCGACATCATGGACAGTTCGCTGCAGATATTCCTTTACCTTCGGCGTGCACTTACATCCTTCTGTGGTACAAACAGGAGATCGACCTGCATTCAACACCTCTGGAACCCACGTGATCGTAGGCAGGTTGAACCAAGCCGATAGCATTGCGTTCCTCTGCTTTTCGGGGTACGCTATTGCAGGAGGAAAGCTCTTCGTTGCGATCGCATCTCGTATTACAGCACGAGCCGCACTCGCTGCCATCTTTTTTTCACTACCAGCAGTAGCACCTTTTCTTAGATCTATTCCTAGCTGGCGGCTGGTGGCGGGCGGCGGGGCCGCCCTTCGGGTGGCGGCGGCTGGCGGGCCTTGCGCCCCCATCGCCACGGTCGCGCTGCTGTTCATGGGCTTCGCCAATGTCTGCTCTTGCGTCGCTATCTCCCGTGTGTGTCTCGCGGCCCCCAAGACCGCCAAGACCTACGGCGACGTCGGCGAGTGGTGCTGCGGCAAGATCGGACGCTACCTCGTGCTGCTCGCGCAGTTCGGCGTGTGCCTCCTCGTGCCCTGCGCGTACCTCGTGCTCGGCGGAACCCTGCTCGACGGTATCTCCCCCGGCGCCTTCGACCAGCAATACTGGAGCATCATCATGGCTGCGATGCTGCTTCCTGTGATCGTCACCCCGACCCTGAAGGAGGGAGCATACGCCACCTTCGCCGGCTGCATGGGCACGGTGCTGGCCGATGCCATTGCCATCGCCGTGCTCGCCGTGGGCATTGGCAACGACCACCCGTCCGTCCCCACCCCCGACATCAAGTTCAGCGAGGCCGCGTCGTCGTTCGGCAACCTGGCTCTGGCCTACTCCGCCGCCGTGCTGGTGCCCGCTCTGCAGCGTGAGCACTCGCAGCCCGAGCGCATGCCCCGCGTGGTCGCCTGCACCATGATCTTCGCTGCCTGCTGCTTCCTCATCATCGGCGAGACGTCGTACTCGTACGTCGGCTGCCAGATCCCCGTCAACCTCCTGTTCGCCATCAACGGAACTGCGCTCAACCTGAGCGCAAACCGCGGTGCTGTCGTGCTTGCCTACATGTTCATGCAGCTGCACATCACCATCGCCATGTCCGTGATCCTGAACCTCGTGCTGTACATTCTCGAGCGTGGAGTGCTGGGCATGCACAAGCGTCCGCTCCTCCCCGTTGCGGACGAAGAATCCCCCGCCTTTGAGGTGATCAACACCCCTCAGAGCCGGAAGGAAGGCACGCCCAACGTTACTGGCCGTCCCTCGGTGACTTCCATGGCCGACACTGAGTTTGACCTGTCCCCGGAGGCTCTGCTCCACGAGTACCACAACAGCGGACCCGTAGTGATCATGAAGTACGTGACGCTGCGCATCTGCGTTGTGGTGATTCTGCTCATCCTGGCCATCATTTTCAAGGACCACTTCATGGACTTCTCGGACTTCGTCGGAGCCTGGGCTGTGTCTCTCGCGTGTATGATCCTGCCCATCGTCTTCTACCTCAAGGTGTTCTGGAACCGCATTCCGTGGTACGAGAAGGCTATCGGCTCGTTCACCATCGTCATCTGCACTGGCCTGGGCGGCTACGTGACGTACACGACCGGCCACGACCTGTCATCGTCAGTGACAAGACGTTCCCGTACTGCCCCGAAGAGTACTCGGAGGTTGTCTACACCAACACCAGCTACTACGGCAACAACTAGGCGCCCACGGCTAGTATCCACGCTGCAACTGAAGGGGGGTATGCTGTTGTGCACTTCAGTACTAGCACAGCACCGCACCCCCTCGTTGGTAGCAAAACTGTCCGCGACCGTCAAGTTATCGCCGTTTAAGTTGCAGCAAACCCCATAGCTCGTAGGTAAATAAATGGAATGATCTATTGCAACCAACGCGTGTCATCGCTCCTTTCGTAAGCTCGCAACAACCTCCAAATGCTGGTGATCGTGCTAATAGGAAAAAAAAGCTGAGCCGGGTTGAAGAGGGCAATGTTGAAGTGCTGGATGTTGCTCACCTACACCACAGCGCCACAAAGCTTTTGGGCGATGCTGGTAAGGATCTTGCGTCCGTACGGGATGTAACTTGCTGAGTACCTGCAATCACGATATCCGGATACCGTTAGCACCACCGCAATTCAATTTTGTTACAGCCAACGAATCGTACCAGACAGCGGCTCCACACTGGATGATCACCAGCAACAGCACCACCAGACCGAGCTGTGGCGCCTATGAGATACAAGAAGTTAGTATCGTTCTGAAGTATTTCCAACCAAACCCAAATCAATCAGCCTACCGTAATGGCGACTGTCAGCACGACCACGATCATCAGCAGATAGATGACGGTCGCTATGCGGCGCACGGGCTTGAACATGAGCTTCACCTGCTGCTTGGGGCCAACGAGGAAACCCGAACTGAAGTCACAAACCCAATCCCGTCAGCTAGCAATCCACACATCTTTGCGTGCACCGTATGAAGCGCCCGACTTACCCGCAGAGCGAGATGATGTTGCCCAGGCTGTAGGTGACGCCGAACTTGGCGCCGTTATCGGAGCCCGCAATGAGGGCGAAGGTCGACTGGCGACAACAAACCAAAACGCACGTTAGCCCGAGCTCCTTCTCCCCTCCGTCAAAACAATGCCAATTGATTTACCCCGAAGCTCATGATGTACCCGAGCACGAAGCAGGACACAAAGCCGATCATCCGCTGCTTCTTGGTGAGACTCGGACACGTGCTGGTCAGCGCATCTGAAGATGATGATGCAGAAGTCGAAGAGGAAGCCCCCTTTGCGTCCGACTTGGTCGCAGCGGCCTTCTTGTCGCCCGTCACGGCCGCCAGCTTCTTGCTGGCATCGCTCGCCGCTCCCGCCACCTTGTCGGCCTCGGTGATCACCAACTTGATGTGGTCCATTGCGGCGAATGTCGGAATGATACTGAAACGGATGAAGCCGAAAATCAAGCTAAAATTAGACCATGGCTACATGAATTGAACGAAAATCTCACTTAGATTCAGTACACATTTTATGTGACGACTCAAAAGTCTCGTACTTTTAGCCCTGTATCAAAAACTGTACACAAATAGTTTTTGAGTACGAGTATCCAAGATGCCCCGGAAGGCCAAGACTGCGGCTGCAAACTCGTCGGATAGCGCCCGCGCACTGCGCCCAGTGTCGCTCGAAGCATGGGTGACGTCTACAAGGCGTCTGCTGTCTCTGGAGCAGCAGGAAGAGGTGCAGACGATGCGGGACGAGCTGGCCACACTCGCTGACAGCGAGAACCCAAACGTGCTGACCCACTTGACGCTCGCGCGATACTCAACGGGCCTCTTCGGTCGTACCGTGCTACAATTCTCCTTCCCTTCACTGAGCTTACGGCAGACCAAGCCGCACCAATTCACTGTGGGAGATTTGGTCCAAATTAGGGTCCAAAAGACTATTCCGGCGGGGGACAAACTGCCCACTGGTATCGTGGCCAAAGTCGAGGAGCGAGGCATCTCCGTCGCGGTAAACAGCGAGCAGGACGATGTGGACGAAGTGGAGCTGCTGGGGGCTTCGGGGGCCATCACCCTCGACCGACTCGTCAATAACGCAACTTTCGTGAAATTGAGCAGCGCCCTGGACCAATTGGCCAAATTTGACTACGGCGCGGCCCAGGCAGTCGTGGATGTGGTCTTCTCCGACCGAGAGCCGAGTTGGAACACGCCGTTGCCCGAGATCGCCCCGTTTAATACGGGGCTTAATGAGTCCCAGGTGGAGGCCATTCGGTTCGCGTTGGCGTCGAAGGATTTGGCGCTGATCCACGGCCCCCCTGGAACGGGCAAGACTACGACGGTGGTGGAGTTTATTCTGCAGGCGGTGACCAAATTTGATCTCAAGGTGCTGGTCTGCGCGCCGTCAAACATTGCGGTGGACAATGTTCTGGACAAATTGGCCAGTACGTGCTCGACGCTCGGGAAGAAGCTGCGGCTGACGCGAGTGGGCCACCCGGCTCGAGTCCTGCTGCAGATTCTCAAGTATTGTCTGGATGCGAAGATCGAGAGCGCCGAGGGCACGGAGATCGTCAACGATATCCGAAAGGAGATGAGTGCGATGCAGACCAAGCTGCAGAAGACGCGCGACAAGAGCGTGCGGTACCAGCTGAGGCGCGAGATGAAGGCCAACCGCAAGGAGATCCGCGAGCGAGAGCAGAAGGTCGTGGGGGACATTGTGCAGCACAGCAACGTGGTGTTCGCGACGAATGTCGGCACGGCGTCCAAGTTGCTCAAGGATGTGACTTTCGACTTGGTGATTATTGATGAAGCAGCGCAGGCGCTTGAGGTCTCCTGCTGGATTCCAATTCTGAAGGCCAAACGTTGTGTATTGGCTGGAGACCACTTGCAGCTGCCACCTACGATCAAGTCGAAGACGGCAGCAGCAAAGGGCTTGGAGGTGACGCTGTTTGATCGGATTACTAGCTTCACGACGACACAAAGCATCGTGAAAATGCTCGACACTCAGTACCGTATGCACGAGGATATCAGCGAGTGGAGTTCCCAAGCGATGTACAAGGGCGAGCTGAAGAGTTTCGAGGGCGTCGCCAAGCGCAAGCTGCATGAGCTGCCGCATGTCAAGATCACGAAAGATGACGAACTGCTAGATGCGACTCTGTTGCTCTTGGACACGGCCGGGTGCGAGCTGGAGGAGGATGCCAACGAGGATGACGGCAAGAGTCACGGTATGCTCCAGCTTTCCAAGTCCAACGAGGGCGAGGCGCGCGTTGTGGCTCGACATGTCCGTGCGCTGCTGGAGTCTGGCCTGAAAGAAGACGAAGTCGCAGTGATCACGCCGTATAACAAACAAGTGCAAACGTTGAAGGCGTTGCTGCTCGAAAGCTATCCGAAGCTTGAAATTCGGTCAGTGGACGGCTTTCAGGGCTGTGAAAAGGAAGCGGTTGTCATGAGTCTGGTGCGCTCCAATGCCTCGAGGCAAGTGGGTTTCCTTGCCGATGACCGACGCATGAATGTAGCTATCACCCGAGCAAAACGTCACGTTGCAGTGGTGTGCGATACCGACACGATTTCCTCACACAAGTTTCTGGCCGTGCTAGTGGAGCATTTCGAGAAGTTCGGTGAGTATCGCAGTGCTCAAGAGTATCTGGACGAAGACGTGGTGGAAGGCAAAGTGGATGAAGGGCTGATACTCTCTCTCAGCGCCCCCGTCGCTGAAAAGGAACCGGCCATCACTACGCCCAGTTCATTGTCAAAACTGGCACCGAAGGTCAACACAAACACTGAGAAGACCGCCAAGCAAACTCAGAAACCGAAGGAGACGAAGCCAGCCCCTGCGCCCGCACCAAAGCCAGCTCCGACACCAAAAGTCGAACCAAAACTGAAGAACGAGAAGCTGCAAGAAGCGACAGAGGTTGCTGCTATAGCTGATGTTAAGGATGAAGAGGGCGAAGAGGAGTTGGAAGACAAGGCAGCAGTAGCAAAGAGCGTTTTCCAAATGATGGACTCGGACAGCGACAGCTCCGCTGACGAACGTGATGATGAAGATGATGAGGCCCAAGCTCACGGAGCTAAGCCCGGCGGTGCGGATGACGGCAGCGACCTGAAAGCTGCCAATTCGCTGTTGAAAGATCTGCACATGAGTCGAATGGCTCGGCAGCCTGCGCCTCCCCCGGCACCGACGACATCTTCAGGCGGCAAGAAGAACAAGAAGAAGAACAAGAAGAAAAAGGGTCAGGCCAAGACTGTGAACACGGCGCCGGTAGACGAACTGAAAGACGGCGAAGACGAGCTGGAGTTCCTCACTCGACAAGCCAGCAAGAGCACCAACTGCGCCTTCCAGAGCTCAAGCCGCTGCAAGAAGAGCACGACGATGCTGGGCAGCGTTTGCAAGTTCTGCAAGCTCAAGTTCTGCTACGACCACGCGCTGCCTGAGGTGCACGGCTGCGGCGACGCCGTGCGCAAGTTCGAGCGGGCTGCATTCCAGCAGCAGATGTCTCGGCCCACCGATGCTCCGAAGAAGAAGCTCACCAGTGACAAGCGCAAGCTGCTCCAGAAGAAGCTCGAGGAGAAGGTGTCGGCCAAGACGGCAGGCCGCACGACGCAGGCGAAACCCAAGTCCAAGCAGAAATAGGACTGTTAGTAGAGCATTGAGACGGGCTCATCTTGTATCGGGGTGAAATGGGACAACCTACCAAAAACACCCAAGCAAATCGCGTCCTTCTATTTGGGGTGATTCTGGGGGTTTGCACCCCCAGACCCCCGCATTAGAAAAACCAACTACTGGACAGGGCAACGGGTCCGTTCGCTGAGGAGCTCGTCGCTGGGCCCGCCTCCGCAAATACCGCGCAGCCCTGCTTCGCGGGCTCCCCGCGCGGGTTTGCTATGGCTACGCTCCTCACACCCACTCACTACCGCCTTCTAATATGGTCGACCTAACCCTTTAGGAAAGGTGCTCGTGTGCGTTTTTCGTATTTTATCGTGAAATGGGTACAACACTGAAAGACTTTTGTAGACATCCGATACCTTTCATAGTGAGTTCAAGTATAGACGAACAGCTACCGAAGCCAAAACAACTCCATTTCCAAGATGGCTACATCCAAGCGGAAGCGCGGCTCCGGTCCGGGCTCCGGTCCGCGTCTGAACGACCTGCAGCGGCTGGAGATCATCCAGCGGCACCGGAGCATGTCGGCACCCGTGTCGCTGCGGCAGTTAGCGCGGGACTTTGGCGTGGACGAGAAGACGATCCGCCGCGTGGTGGCGGCGTCGAACGACATTGAGGCGCGCGCCGCCAGCTCCGCCGTGCTCAGCAACCGCGGGAACGTGCACCGGCGGCCGACACCGCGCTTCCCGCAGCTGGAGAAGGCGCTGGCCGCGTGGATCGACGCTCGGGAGCGGGCCCGAGTGGACATTTCCCCCTCAATAGTCATCGACAAGGCCAAACTGGTGGCGCGAGAAATGGGTATATCGCCCGAGGACTTCAAGGCCAGTTGGGGCTGGTACGACAAGTTCAGCAAGAGATATGGGCTGCACTCGGCCTTTAAGACGGAGGAAAAGGGTACACTTTCTTCTTCTTCTGGCAATGGACGCGAGACCCAAAGTCTGCAGGAACTGCACCGGATTATGGCTACATACGACCCGGAATGGGTCTTCTGCGTTGAAGAGAGCTCGCTGTTTTACGATTCACTGCCGTTTGCAGTGTCTGGAGGTGGGGGAGGGGGGAATGGGAGGAAAAGAGTCACAATGGTGCTGAGCTGCAACTCGACGGGACGCGTGACGTTGCCCATTTGCATGGTCGGGAGGGAAAAGTGGCCGACTGAAGCTCGCGCGAGCTTCCCAGTGAAGTATTTGATGCAGGACAGGGCGTGGCTGGATCGACCGACGTTCGGGGGCTGGTACAGTTCCGTGTTTGTCCCCTTCGTTCGAGAGCGAACGAGTAAACCGGTGCTGCTGGTTGTGGATGGAGAACGCCCGGGCCATCAAGGGGATTTTGAGGACCACGGCATTCGACTGGTGTTCCTGCCTCCACCGGTCAAGTCGGCGCAAGTGATAGCTGCTGGGTCGGAGAATGTTCAGTTGTCGAATGTGGACGTCAAGACGTGGTGGAGTCGACCGCTGCAGATGGGCGTGGTGGCGGCACTCAAGGCCGAGTACAAGTATCTACTGGTGCAGAGCGCGCTGTCGTATCTTAACGCCCCACAGGAGGTGAAGGAAGCGCTCAAAGCTGCCGAGGAGAAGGGTGATGGGAATACCAGTGGGGCCCATTTCGGACACGCGCCGACGTTGTTGGATGCGGCACGGTTGCTTGCGCAGGCCTGGAGCCAAGTACCCGCAGATTTGTTGGAGAATTGTTTCGCCCGTGCCAACTTGGTGCCGCCTTCGAAGCTACTGGCAGCTCCAATGCCTCCTGGGGCCTCACAACTTGAGTTAGTGAGACTGCACAGTGACAGCGTTGCAACCAAGATCGAAGAGATGTTGGTCTCGAGCTGTTTGCCAGCTCAGGCCTGGACTGGGATTGGTGGACAAACCCAGGCTACGAACGTGAAAGATCGAGTTGGCGTGTTCTTGCTCCTCGACGGAGACAACTCGGCCGTACTCCAGCAACAGATTCAAGCAGAGATCAGCGAAGCTCTAACTGGTTCAGTGTCAGTGGTATCACCGTCTGATCCGGTTGTGCTACCTGCACGCGCGAGCAACCCTATTGGAGTTGCTGCTACCACCGAATCTTTGCCCGGTATCAAACAAGACTTGGCACTGCAAGTTCGTGGGTTACTCCTGGGAATTACAGACATTGCCTCGCAGTTGCGCCTACTACCACGAACAGGAGCTGACGCAGAAAAGCTGGCGCCACTTCAGCTCGAGGGCTGCATTGCAGCAGCCGACCAAATCCGGCATTGCGTTCAGGCGTTTGATCGAACTCTTAGCTCGGAAACTAGCGAGCGAAATCAAGGCCAGAGGTCACCGCTAAATGACAGAAGCAGCAGTGGAAGCATAGATTAACAACGAACCAGAGATCAGCGCAAAACGTTTCCTTCATCCTGTACAACACGCAGTCACCGCGATTCAATCCGTCTTCTTGCTGCTTCTCTCATCGACGTCGAGTTCCTCTTTCTGGCTGTTCTTCGCTTCCTGCGCCTTCGCCTTCTTTTTCAGCAGCGCCGGGATGAGCATACCCACTGCGAGCAGCACCAGCAGCCCCATCGTACGCGGGTCCAGCAAGTCGCTCGTGCTCCGTAGAGACGACAGCATGGCCCCCGCGTGCACCGTGATGAAGTTGTACGGCAGCAAACCCACTGCCACGGAGGGCGCGAACAGCTTCAGCGGCACTTGCAGCCACGGACTCGCCATGTTGAGGAACCAGTTGGGCGTGAAGGGGAACACCCGCAGGAACAGCAACAAGAACGGCAACTGACCTTGTGCCCGAGCATCGTCGATCTTCTGCCTCAGAGCGTGCAGCTTCCCAGGCAGCAGTCGCTCACTCACACTCAGCACGATCTCCTCCGAGGCCAGATTCTTGGACAACAGGTAGCAGCACGAAGCTCCGCACGCCGTCAGGACGCACACCAGAGGGAAAGCCAGCGCTATGGGCAGAACTGCACCTGCAAACACATTGAGTAGTGCCGAGCCGGGAATGGCGAACGTCTAGCAATATAAGCACCAAGTTAGTTGCGCACTTATTTAAGTACATTTGTGCTACATAGTTATCTACCTGTTTGAGCACGTAGACGCACGTGAAGCAGCCCAGCGCCAGCGGGAACTGCACGGAGAACACGTGCAGGAAGGTTTCGTGCGAGCGCTGCAGCTCCTGGAGCGACGAGAGGCTGCGCGGCGACAGCGCGTCCAGCTTCGACGTGGCGAGCCCCAGCGCGGCGTCGTGTTCGCGGACGCGGCGCACCAGCAGCAGGTAGAGCCCCAGGACGACCCCCATGGCGCAGCCGAAGACCAGTGCGAGCTTGGCGGCGAGAAGCAGCAGCGCGCGGCCTCCCCCGGAGGCGCGAGGAGCAGCAGCGAGCGTCATGTCGGCGAGTGAACAAGTGCGTCAGTCGTAAAACTGAAGCGGAATGGTGTGTTTTATGTAACTGGTGCTTCGTCGACAGTTCTTCAGTGCAACTTGACAGTAAGAGTGGAGGCTTGTGCTTCGGCTCCGTTCCTGGAACTTTGACCGTCGAAGAGAGATTTCATTGTGCTAAAGTATTTGCTATCCGCGGGCAGCAGCCATCCATCGCACAATCAAAATCTTTCTCGCATTCTCAGTATCTCGAGGTGATAGATTCTCGGTGAGGAGACCCGAACAGAGCGGGTGACAGTTGCTAGGCCTATCAAAGCGTGGCCTCGTCAGCAATAGTGGCAGCAAAGGGTATCGATATGGCACCACGACGGCAACGAACACGTAGCGGAGACTTCGGAGGCGTCGTTAACACAGGGTGCGACACTGGAACTTCGTCGGCGGGGAGCGCAGACGTCTGGGGCCTCTGCCAACCTTGCCAACAACCAAGCAACCTTCAGAAATTCCTTCGACAGAGATGAAGTGTATGTGGCAAACCGAAGCTTAATATGGTTGAAAGATTTCGTCTTCTTCAGGGTTCGTGACTAACTCGTTTGATTAGCTTGCATTTTGTTTTTTACTTTTTCGCTGCCTCAGTTAGACATTAGGCCAATGAATCTTGGACGACGTTACTGCCACATAGAGCGTGTATAAAAATCCTAATATGTGGTGCATATGTGGTTCGAGTTGCCAAATACTCAGATAGGTTGGTCACTTCTCGAGACGGGATAACGTCTTGTGTGTCAGAGCCACATAACTTGACCGTAGTTCCAGTATACAGTGGGTTGTGCCTACAGCGGGTGGGCAAAGTCAGCACCCCCCCATCTCTGTCCTTGGCAACTTCAACACCTTACCACACTAAAATACAAGTGGAGATTTTGATCTCGATCGCGATGAAAGCGGCTTTCTTCTTGTGGTTCGCTTGCCTGCATCTGATTGGCATGTTATTTAACGAAATCCGCCAATCAACGGAGCCAAATTCGTTTATAATACATTAGTTATACTGTCTTCTGAGAACCAGTCGATTAGACGCAAGCCGAGCTCGAGCTCGAGTTCATTCGAGCAGTATCATATCCCTTTCATCCGACTAGACCCTACATGGCATGAACAGCAAGGCGTCAGTACTCCCAAGACCTTCGAGACCGCGTCATCCACAAATGGAAGAAGGAGAAGCTGGGCTACAAGAAGATCAGCAAGCACCTGTGCATTCCTCGCCCAAGCGTGCGCTCAATCGTCAAGTTCTACAAAAAGCACGGGCACAGTACCATCCCGCAGCGTACAGGACGGCCTCGGCGAACCAATGACCGCGTCGATCGCCGTATAGTTCGGGAAGTAGAGCGCAACCGCTTTGTTAGTGCTGCGGTTGTCGCCGCTCAAGTGGCTAAGGACATCGGTCAGCCAGTGTCAAGCACGCTCGTCCGCGAGCGGGTTCGAGATACAGGGCTCCATGGGAGATCGGCTCGTAACCCTTCTAGCCCCAGATCTTATTTTGTATCCTACAGAATAAGCATTAGACTTGATTAAAGTATACTTCAAAACCTGTCAAAGATTTGCTGTTGGAAGCCCTTTCGCATCTTGCGGTCAAGCGCTGGGTACATTGTGCACAGAAAAGCTACGAAAGTGAACAAAACATGCTCAATGTATCCACCATATGCCGAAATGGCGAGCTTCTATTGGTCGTGGCGAGCGTAGAGCACGCTCAAAACCTGCTACATGGTAATACCTTGCAAGGCTGCTAAGGCAGCATACTTCGGCTCCAGCCACCCATCTTCGGCACGTCGCGATAAACGCGGAGGAAGAAATCGCCCTGTTCCTAACTGACGTAGTGAGGAGGAACTGGGCGAATTCTTCCTTGTGCTTGACATTAGCGCATCATTAGATTTCTTTAGCCCACCTAACAAGCTTGTTACGATTGTCTCTATAACAACACCAGGGAGCTTGCATGCTCAATAGCCCGTAATGACACGCACTACACACGGTTCCTCTTGTACGAAACAGGACAATATATGATATTCATGCCAACGTCTACTTCTTCCTTTACATGCGCACGCTCTTCAATGTTCGCGCCAGCCGTGGGTCATCTTCGCCATTTTGGCAGCCTCCGCTTTGCCGTGTAGCCTCCGGCACTGCCGCACCATTCCTGCCGCTTTCATCGGTAGCCTCCGTCGTAGCCTCTGTCCCTTCTTCTGTAATCTCCGGTGTAACCTCATCACGCGGAGAGCTTCTTCTGTAGCATCTGTCGTAGCATCTACCGCTTCTTCTGTAGTCTCCGGTGTAGCCACACCATGATGAGCGCTTCTTCTGTAGCCTCTTGAGTAGCCACTGCATCAGCTACAATATAGTGGTAGACCCGGCTGTAGCCGGCTTCGTTGGAACCGATGAGGTTGTGCGCTGACTGCGCAATCGATCTGCCAATCGGGCCACACGCGAGAGCTCATAGCGTCGTCTGGGTCGGATCACCAGGTCTGGTAATCAACATCGCAACGTAGAATCAATATACCACTAGTACAATGTTACAGAGCAAAGTACACGCTCTCGCTTACCTGTAGATCACAATGGCGCTCATCATGGTCGTCTTCGGCCATGGTCCTTGGCCACTTAGGCGCGCTCGACGGGCCCCAACAAAGCTTGTATTGCGACGTCTTGAACAGCGCAGTTTCGGAATGAAGGAAAGTACGAGTGGCTGACACGCGGCGGTTTCAGGCTTCCACCCGAATTTTCAAACCTGTTCCATATGCGAAGTTCGAAAGAGAGGACAAGTTTGCTGGATATTATGTCCTGTGACAATTCTTATTCTGTAGGATACATAATACGGGGTTAGAGGGGCTAACGTAATACAGCCCTTGCCTCCACTCACACCCATGAAACCCCATTTTGCGTTTCAAGCTAAAGAAACGTAAATTCTGGTCACGGAAAAGCGTGCTCACGTATTCATGCACGAGCGGTTTCCACTGTGCGTGATGTCAACTGGACGACAACCAGACTGATGCAACTCCAGTAGTACACGTTTTTACAGATTAGAATTCCTAAACTATCCTCTCACCGAAAATGCCTCCACCCCGAAATACTAAAACAAGCGTGTTCAGGACTAATAGATGATTCCTTCACCTTGAAATCCCTTTCCTTTCCGCCAGCCGGCCGTCGCGCATAATCGCCGCCCTCTACAGCGCATGCTGCTGTGGTTACGCCCTCCAAAACGTTTTTTGGGTGAAAGCTCAATCTCTCTCTCACTTTCCAATTTGCAATCTAACCAAGAAACCCGACACTTCCGCTCCATGTTCACTGGAACCACGCTTCCGATCGTTGTCGCCCTAGCAGCACTGGCTTCATCTGCCAACGCCCACGGATACCTCGAGGAGCCCTCGCCCACCTGGGTGGACAGTCCCAATCCTGAATGGATCGTCAACATCGACAACTACTGGGACATCGGCTCCGGTGGCGACCAGTGCGGACTGTTCAAGACGATGACCGAGGAGAAGGGCGTGACCGTCAAGGACGTGGTGCTGGAAATGGTCAACGATGACAGCAAGAAGTGCGGCAACACGCTGGCGGGGACGGAACCCCTCAGGCCATTCCGACCGATGGGATGGCCAAATGGCTGGGCAATGGCAGCGGCGGCTTTACGCACGTGGGTCCGTGTGAGATTTACATCGATAATACCATGGTGCTGCACGGCGACAACTGCGAGGACGAGTATCCGGGTGGCGACGTCGGCGACTGTCACGTCGGACATGCCCATCGACTATTCGTCGTGCAACGGAGACTGCACGCTGACGATCTACTGGCTGGCCTTCCAGAACGAGCAGTAGCAGGTCTACAGTAAGTGTTTTGGCTTTGGCGGGTTAGTTTGCGAAGTGGTAGGTTTTTACGTTTGTGTGTGTGTGTTTATGCAGTCAACTGCGTTCCTCTATCTGGAGAAAGCTCGACATCCACCACGACGGCAACTAACAGTTCTTCAGCCACAGTGGGGACTTCGGAAGCGTCAACGAACTCTGAGGCAGACTTAACGGAGACTTCGGTGACGACATTCGAATCATCAGAAGCTTCGTCGACTGGATCGCAAACGACGGAGACTCCTACCCCACTACCGAGGCGACCGCTGTTTCGACACCGACTACACAGACTTCATCAACGGAACTCCCCACGACGGAGACAAAGTACAACGCAGCGGCTCGTCGACTTCGCAAGAAAACGACGGAGGATTAAGTATCCTACTTCAGACCGGGAAGCAGCAATGCTAAGAAGGTGTTCGTGTGTGTCTGGCAGGTGGGCCGAGGAAAAGTGCAACAACATATCATATTTCAGTTTTTTTCCCTGTAGGCACGAACATATCCCCCGTAAAAACGAAAAACAAATTAAGGGGTTGTACGGAAATTCGAGTGGACTGAAACGTTTATATCTTCTTCTTACGATGGACGAAAACCTTATTGAGTGTTCGGGATCTAGCATTACCGGCGATAACGGAATTCGATATGATTGTCCGCATACTACATGTAGTGTGATCTGCGATGCATAGATCTGGGGTATCGCATGTACGGGTCTTTCAGCATGATGAACGTTTGTTGAAGCCTCTTATCTCTCGGATTAATTGGTGATAGTCCAAAGTACGCGATCGTGGATGGCAGATCAACAGCGTAAAGGCGTCCACTAATAAGATATTTCTTTCGGGGAGGCAGCGGCAGGATCACGTTCAGTTTCCAACTTGCCGGCTTCCTCTCAAGACCAAACAAGTCAATTCCGATGTTAGCTCGAGTCGCACTGTCCTCCGCCGTTGCCCTAGCGGCCCTCAGCTCCCAAGTCAACGCGCACGGCTACCTGGAACAGCCCAAACCGAGCTGGACGGACAGCCCCAATCCTGATTGGGTTGTGAACGTCGACAACTACTGGGACATCGGGTCGGGAGGAGACCAATGTGGAGACCAATGTGGTCTCCTCGCAACCCGATGTCCCAGTAGTTGCATTCAAGAAAATGGCTGAGGAGAAGGGCCGAAACTTTGGCCGACGCTAACCCCCAGCCTGTTCCTAGCGACTGGTCAAGTGGCTGGGCAACGGTGGCGGAGGTTTCACCCACGTCGGTCCGTGTGAGGTTTACATCGACGATAAGATGGTAGCACATGGTGACAACTGCGAGGACGAGTTCAAGGGCGGAGACGTTGGATCAAAGGAGACTTCGGACATTCCTGCGGACTACTCGTCTTGCAACGGGAAATGCACCTTGACCATGTACTGGCTGGCGTTCCAGAACGAGCAGTGGTAGTACGTCGCTGCGTTGCATTATTCTTTGCATTGTGTCTCTCAGTGTGCATGTGGTTGTTATGCTGTGAACAGTCAACTGTGTGCCTCTGGAGGGAAACGGTTCGTCGACCAGTACGCAGACGGACGGCGGCTTCTTCCACTGGCGAACAAAAGGCGCAGTTCACTCAGGATGGCAGCCAGAAGAACCAAGATGACAAAGACAACAAGAACAACGACGACAACCAAAACAGCAGCGCGAACCAAGACAACGAGGAAGAATAAGTAAGCCAGGACAACCAGGGCAACCAGGACCAAAACCAAGACAACCAAGACAACCAGGAGTAGGGCTGTTTCGTGCGGTGCTCGAAAGTGCACGAAAGTACTTTCGTGCAAATTCATCAGCCCTTTATTACGGGGATAGCACATTGAGACATCAATGGCAGTTCTCTACCAAGTACGATTAATACTCTTGAAATTACAGACAGCTGGACAGGAATCGCCGCAGCGCCAAGCACGAAAGAATCGACCGCCTCGAGCACAGGCTGGACGAGACCCATGAAGATCTAAGAGCGTACTGCAACAACATCAACGCGACGATAAGCAACATGAACACAAGTATCAGCACCGACATCGCTTCGCTGAATCAGACAGTTGCGAACAGGGCTCGGAAAATAAAATATAAAATTGAATTGGGAATCTAAGAAAAAAAAATCCGTAATTCCATTTCTTGAGGCTCCCGTAATAATAATTATATTGTGCTTTGCAATGATTTTGGCAATATGAGGCGAGATTTGCTGTATTTATAGCGACCACCTGCTAGATTTACGATAAATCGAGGTGCATAAATGGGTGGAGGCCTAGAATTACGCTAAAAGCGCCACAATTGCACTTTTGAAAGTGCAATTGTGGCTGTGCAGCTGCAATTCTGTCGGTTTTTATCCACAAGCACCTACACACACGGCAATTATGCATAAGAGGGTGGATGTGCTGAGGATCATGGACGGTAGTGTACTGGGGCAATGCATGGCTGCTGACAGGCCCTCCCAAGTCGATATATATATGAGGAGGTGGATTTATGCATAATTTTAGCAGGTCGTGTATCTTTTTTCACACATATTTAGGAGCAGGCTTTGCCATATTTAGCGTCTAAAATGGTCGGCAAAATCATTGCAAAGCACAATAATTATTATAGTGTATTATTGGGACAATACTGAACCGTAAAACTAACATTTGGGACATATTAATGAGTTTTAACCGGGAACTTTAGTGTCTTAACGACTGAAATCTGGTGAAAACTCAATATACTTATTATTGGTACAATATCTTATTTTACGGAAACCCGGAAAATCCTATAATAAGTTATTCCGTCAATATAATACTATAATTATTATATTATAATTATTTTTTCCGAGCCCTGGTTGCGAACCTAGTGCAAGGAATGACGAACCTGGTGGAAGGTCTCGGCCAGGTCCGAACTGCGGTGAGAGAAGCCCAGAACTTGGCTCGAGCTGCAAGTCAAGCCGCCAGCCAAGCTGCCACTAGGGTTCAGGTATCAAGTACGATCCAACCAACAACTACAACAGCTACGACTACTGGAGCGAGTTCGCAAACGACACCGGCAATGCTGTTTCGTGGCCGTGAGGTGGCGAATCAGTCAATACCAGCTGGAAGCGAGGCAAGTGGACCTCGTGGGAGGAATTTACGTAAGATCGATACAAAACCTCCTGTGTTTGCTGGAGAAATTGATGGCATCAAGTTGAAAAGTTTCGTGTTTCAATTTGAATCGTACGCCTGCCAAAAGGGGTATGATTTGGTCGAAGATGACTGTGATCTCGCCTCAGAACTCAACCAATGCGTACAAAAGGCTGCCTTAGTCTGGTCCGAACAAATCATGACCGACGACACTACCGACAAGCGTTGGAGTGCCCTGAAGCTACAGATGGCCATGGAGTTCATGGAGCCAAACTTCGAAGAGAAAATTCGGTGCCGATTGCTTTCCATCAAGCAAACTGGAGGGTATTCGGGCTATGTTGGCAAATTTCGAGAGCTCCATCGCCTGGTCCAGGTTGACCCACTTACGGCAATGAACTTGTTCGTGAATGGTATCTGATTCAGTGATGAAAAGAGAGATTTTGCGTAAGAAGCCCAAAGATTTGAGCTCAGCAATTGCCGAGGGGTTTGTCGAGTGGGATATCCGCGAAAAAACCTCGAGCAGTGCGAAATCAACTGGAAATAGGTTCAAAGGAAAATCCAGTGCCGCGAATGACGCAATGCAATCCAAACCGAATTCACACACTGCAGCTCGTAAATCCGGCAACGGTGGTCGAGCAAGCACCAGCAGTGCCAAGTTGGAGAAGAACTGCAGTTATTGCGGTCGCGGACCGCATCGCGAAGAAGACTGCTGGTTCAAGTACCCAGACAAGCGTCCAAAGTCCGACAACCTCAACAAAAAGATCTACGCGATGCTGGAGCGAATGGCTCTCACTGAGAATGGGTCACTGCGTGGTGGTGAGCAGTTAAACGAGTAAGTCCACTTGATGTTGAGCGATTAAGTGGACACACTCGCAAGCTCAGCCGTCTAAAGAGTTCTAGTGATCGCTGCGAAGCTTCGATGCAGGAAGCGAGCGAACAACTTTCGCAGCAACCTGTTAAACCACAACATGTGAAAAATGATGAAGTGAAAATCAAGAAAAAAGGAAGAAACCCTGCGTATGAGCGTGATCAATACAGGCGGGAGCATGCAGTTTCTCGATGAAGATTGTCGGGCTACCAAGCCACGTGAAACGCAGCTACTGTCTCGTGAATACTACTGTTTGTTGCATACCAACAACACTGTTCAGTGCACTCGTGATGACTTGGTGCTTACGAATTCGAACTTTATCGACAGTGGGGCATCAATTAACGCTGTGAGTCCTGAATTCTGTCTTCGAGCGGGATTGGAGGCCAAGATTCGAGATCATGGTACAATGATGCCGATCACTTTGGCGAACAAGCAAGAGATGACAGTTCCAGCGCGGACAGTGAGACTGCATTTGTTTATTGAGTCGTTTGACCCGTACGTTGGAGACTTCCTGATACTTCCGGTTCCAAAAAACCAGGACATTCTGCTCGGGATGCCGTGGTTGAAGACGGCTAATCCCGATATTGACTGGATTGAGGAAACGGTAAAACCTCGGAAGGCTCCAACTGAAAACAACCAGAGGCAGAAGCCGACAAAGAAAAAGAATATGAAACCGCGGACTACAAAAATGCCGTCGACGCCAGCGCTACGCGTGGGTAGGCAGCAGTTTTCTGTTAGCGGATCGACCTCAGCCTCGTGCAGCAGATATTTCCAGCATGGCTATTTCTCTGTCACGAGTGGAGAAACAAAATACATCACACGTAAACAGTTCAAGCGTCTCCTTCGTAAGCCTCAAGACCTTGAATGCGTGTTTGTGATTCGGTCAGTCACGGAAAAGGAACACACTGACTCGAAGAAAGCGTTCACGACCATTGATGACTATGATGACCACCCTGTGTATGATGAGCTGGTGAAACACAATGGCATGTTTCGGCAGAAGTTGCCCAGTGAGCTGCCACCTGAGTCCCATGGCGTGCATGAAATGGCAGTGGACACCACTAAACCAATTTCCCGCCAACAGTGGCGTCAGTCACCGGTGCAAGAACAAGTAATAAGGACATGGGTCGAAGAAATGTTTCGGGCAGGTCTGATACGACCATCGTCGTCCCACCACGGGGCTCCGACATTTTGCGTCAAGAAACCCGTGGGGTGGAGGATTGTGCACGACTATCGGGCGATGAACAACCACACTGTGCGGCGAACGTTGCCAATGACCAGAAAAGATGTCATGTACGAACGCATGCAAGGCGCGTATTGGTACAGCTGCATGGACCTCTTGAGTGGCTACTACCAGTTCAGAATGCGGGATGCAGATGTCAAATACACAGCGTTTCAAACAGCGGATGGACTTTACGAGTACTTAGTGATTCCAGTGAGCCTGTCTAATGCGCCTGCTACGTTCACCGACGGAATACGAAGACTGCTGAACGTTTTGACTGACTTTTGTCTTTCTTACTTTGACGACATTTACGTTTTCACGCGAAGTCAAGACCTGAATGAACATTTAGCTGCCTTGGATCGCGTTTTGACGAGACTAGAAGACAACAAGTTTTACGTCAAGTTGAGCAAGTGCGTGTTCTGTTCGCCTGAGATACCCTGTCTTGGTGACTATGTTGGTCGTGAAGGGGTCCGGATAGACCCTAAGAAGGTAGAAGTGCTGCGTGAGTGGCCACTGCCAGCTACGAAAAGTGAGTTGTAGTCATTCCTAGGGACTGCGACCTACGTTCAGCGTTTCTGCAAAGGCTTCGCTCATGATGCTGACCCGCTGTTCGACATGTTGAAAGCCAAAACAGCTACACCGAAGAAGACAAAGCTCGTGTGGGCGAAAGAGCTGGTGAGGCGAGGCCGATGAAACCTTTGTCGCCCAGGGGGGTTCGTATAGCGCAGCCCAAGACTGTTCCCCAGGGGTAGACCCAGAGAATCGACTTGAGAGTCAACAGCAAGAAGATAGACCCAGAGATTCGCAGCCGCAAAGCTTTAAACCCTGAGAATCACACTCCTTGGTTGGCGTGGGTACCTTGTGTAATCCCTGTCGGCTCGTTTGTCTTCGACGGAACGGCACTCCACCGGTTGAAAATGTAGCCTCGAAGAAGTGTGGGAGCGCACGTCTACTTCAGAACGCACCTCCACACCAAAAGGCAAACCCAGAGAATCAGATCCCCTGAAACCCAGAATATCACGAATTTAGGGTCCAGGATTTCAGTCAACTCTGAGACTTGGAACTCAAAAGACAACTTACCCAAATGCCCTCCTAGCTCGACAAAACCAACAAATACAGAGTATACAAACACTACAACTAGCCGTCACTTATTCTTTTGGACCCTTGGACGGTGGGTCACACACACACTAGGCTCACTCGAGTCTGAAATTCAGGGGCCTAGCTCCCCTGAGACTCACACAAACGCGCACCACCTCCAATAAAGGAGGAAAATACAATCACTATCAGTTACCTTCCCTTCACACAAGCAGTCAATACAAAATCCTGGAGGCGACTACCTAGCACCCCAGAATACCCTCTGGAATAATATGAAATGGGCTACCACGAGCACAGCAAGTGACCCAACTAGGATATGGAATAGATGGATCACCCCAGGAAGCTCAAGGCCGTCGCTGGTCACCACCTACCTGGACTTGAGTTTGATGGAGCCCACACAGACGGCTGTCCTTCGCCGTTGATGTGCCCTTAGCGTCCCGCGGTCGTAGTCTCGGGTCCTCCGGATTTCCGTCGGCAGGCTTGGCCGAAGTCACTTGCGCAGTACAGGGTAAAAGGAACTCTGTTTGGTTTTTTATCAGCTACTTCTCTCTCTCTCTCCTCTTCGGGCAAATATCTTCTGTTCACTATGCTTGGGGTCAAAATGT